TGTTAAGTGCACGTTATCTAAAGGAAAAATTACTTAGCTCTTTTAATGAAAGAAATGCAAACGGCTATCTATCCGTTATCTATCCCTTCACCTTAACAAAAGTACCGAATACGGAACACTTTTCCCTATACGTATCAAGCAGTTTCGGTCAAGGCGTGACATTCGTAATTTTTGGATAGTTTGAGGCTCAGGTGTTCTAAATGTTGTCCTTATTTCTACATTGATTTTTCTACATATACATACTATTTATGTTCCCGAGGTCGCTAAATAAAAGTTTTGCAAGACATTAATACTTTTTAGATTGATTTGCTAATTAGGCCTGCTCTGTTTTGCTAAGATGGACGCTAATCCTCAACAACACATTGCTTTCCCTTCTTAATTTTTTATCTGGACTGGGAATTATTTTACGTTGTTCTGATTTTTTTTGCCTCGGTGTTCTTATCATGCATGTCTTCATAAAAAAGTGCAATGAGCAGTGTAGCGAGCGGGGGATGTAGGGGCTGTGACACCCCCAAATCCTCATAAATTTATTAGTAAATTTTAGTCAGTCCAAAAAATCCTTAGTTTGGCCGATAAAATCTCCTACTGGTAGGTGAAATAACCTCTAATACTTCTCCTGTATGTCTTTGTCAGTGAATATCACTATTGATGAACCTCTACTCCCCACTCAAGAAGGTCAAGCAACGCGACAGAGTGTAATGGCTGTTATAGATAGGCGTGGTCATACCTCTTTATGATAAAATTTTAATCATGAATAATTACATTTTTACAATCAAGAAGTTTTCAGGCTGCACAAAACAGAGCACAGTAAGATTGGCTTCGTTTCAAATAAATTGCCAAAGAAAGCTTGGGTCAAGCATTGGGAGATTATTCATCCATACCACGTGGATTTCCATTAGTGCACCTCCGGATTTCAATTGTTTCCATGAATCACGACAATATAGTTAGCGAATAAATTGAGTACCAGAATGAAATAAATTAGTTTGATAGTTAAAAACACGACATTTTCAGCATTTACTTGTTATCAAGTCGTGAGGTGCGGTACTATATAATGATTTGTATAAAAGACTAGAGCCCAGGCTCCAAAGTAGTTTCGAGTTAGAAGTTATTATCAAGAGATTACTCGTGTTATGTTATGGACTAAAACTTTATGTTGTCTCAGCGTACATTCTTCTAAGCGGAGGATATTACATACTAGTGCATTTATATCTACATACTTTACTTGATAACGAGTACCTGCTCGAAACGTCGTGTTTTAAAGACAATCTGTCACGACGTTGATTGATTATAAGAACAAAGGGATTTTTTATTGTTTCAAGTCCCCCTTTAATTTATCGCATTCTAAAAAATATGGCGGAGCGCTGGAATTGTGTTTAGGCTATTGTTCCAGCTCGTTAACCAATCCACAACGAGACAGATTGCCTTTAACTAACAAACCAATTTAGTTCATTCTGGTACTCAGTTGATTTGCTGGCTATAATATCGTTATTTTGGATGAAGTACCACATGCAACGTTCATATCTAGTTGGATTTCAATGGATCAGTTTGTTCCTGGGTTTAATCCTAGCCAAGATTAAACCAGTCCAGAAACTTATCGGTTTCTACATGAAATGTGTTTATAGAGTTTAAAGGTGTGACGCCATAAAAAATCTGAATTTAGAATTGTCAATTTTTGATCACGTAACCTAGACAATCAGAAATACCTTTACATATTCAAAATCTGTTAAATATATTAGAAATTTAGCGAGATATGATCAATGAAAGATTGCTAGTGGGCCGAGCACTGTTACTTTGGCCTTGCTCATACAATTAAGGACAGAGTCCAAATTATAGTAATTTGATGCGGAACGAGTTTCTGCTTCAATGTGGATAGATCTAAGTCAATTCGTAACAAATTTAGCTGATTTTATACATTTCACGATGTTCTTTTAGACTTTGTGATCTGAAATCAAAAATTCTATAAATGGCTTTTTGTGATGCCATCAGTTAAGTACCCAGTATGTGAGATCTGTTCTTAGAGCTAATACTTTTCTTAATGTAATCCATTACTAGATTAAATCCGTTCTTTAGATAAATCAGTTCCTAGTTTTAGTTGATCTTTCATGTAAGACATCCTTCGAAGTAATCCAGTTTCTTACACAATCTGTTCCTATCGTTGTAAATCGGTACCTATGGGCAAGCTCATCTTATACGTAATCTTCTCGTAAATGTGATCTATTCTTGTATGTAATGCGCTATCCGATTGTACGTGCAATCTGTTCCTACGCGTAAGCCGCTTAGTATCTGAGGTAACGTAACAAATCTTCTAGACATAGGCCACAGAGTCTCCATTATTTAGAGTCAGAAATATAGTTCGAAACTACTCGTAAGTGGAAATAGAGACCTTCCCCTCCTTCGCATCCACTCATTCTGTACTACCGCAGCCGTCTACAATAAATTATCCCTGGATTAATGAGGCTCTGGTACCCAGGGTAGGCCAAAGTATGAACCAATCTAAAACCACGAGAGATACTCTTTTGAGTATTGAAGGGGTTCAGCTTCTTAGAGACATGGTAGAAATTGAAATGCCTAAACTTAGGTTTGTGCTTGCTCCTTCTTTGAAATGGCTTTGAAAAAAGCAAACATTTGAGTAAACTAAAGCTTTTCGTCTGACGCTCTTCGTCTGAAACGAGATTAGAGTATGAAACGTCAGAACATAGATCAAAAACTCCATGCTAGGAAATGCATATACCCAGTTGTGGATCGGAATAGGCGATGTTATTCATTCTTTTAAATGAAAAAGCAATTCAGTGTCTTTCCTTTATATCATATGCGTTTCTTTATATCATACTCATTGCGCATTCATTTGTTAATCAACGGTACTTTTCTGTCTCTAAGATTCGTTCCAAGTTTCCCACGTGGATAAATTGTTAAAAGAAGTTTACAGCCGTAAACAATTAAGAAACCCCATTGATAATATGAAAACCATGAATTCAAAACTATCACTTCTACAATTTTGTATTGAATCTTTTCAATTGATACGAAAACTGAAAAGATTTAATAAAAATTTTACTACGGAATCGAAGTTAACACAAATGAAGATTGAATTAAATGAAATGGATAACGTGTTTAATCAAAGTTTATTAAATGTAGTACAAGAATATTGGTTTGATTATTAAATTTATATAGAGGGATTTCGCAATTAAATCTTACAATTACATTATAACATGCAATTTTATAAAAATTGAAGGAATTGAAGGAATATTTTTGAGTTGGACTGGAGAATTTGAAAATTCTCAGAAGCAAGAAAGTTGAAATTTTCTGATTGAAGTGTTAAAATTTGGTTAGAAAAGAAACTTGATATTTTTTCCAACAATAATGAATTTAATGGTTAGATGGGGGCAAGATAAAATAATAGTATGATTTTATCTTGATGGGTAAATGGTAAGGGAGGGCAATGACTTAGAGAGGTTTAGAAAACCTCAGGTTAATAACGGTCCTTTAAGGTATATGATATATTTAAAAGGAAGAGAATGCTCTTCTTATTGTGACGCAACTGGAGGCAAAACGAGAACAAGGCTGCGAGTATGCACCACGAGCTTACCAAAGGATCGATTGCAATGAAGGGTATTCGGCATTCTACTGATCTGGGAATTCAAGAAGGAGAGACAACTTGAGATAGCGCACAGTCGCGTGACAATCACTTGGAAGCACGCCGTGACAAAAGCTGACGACGAAGTACAATCAGGGAAGTATTCCTTTATTTCATTGATTAGATATAGCTACGGCGGAAAATCTTTGCAAAACGTGCAAATGGAGCAAGACCCCCCATCTGCACAGGTTGAAGTTACCATTCCAACCACCAACAAGGCTGGTGGGGACATGGAATATGCAAATGTGATCACGAGTCTTGAGCGCAGCCAAAATGAAAAATTAAGCAAATTTTAGAGAATATTACGTGTAAGGTTGAAGTGAGTAGCGAAAAAGTCGAAAATTTCGAAGAGATCACAAATGCAAAACCCGTAGAAAGTACCTATAAGAAATTCGTGGACATGATGTAACTTTTTGTGGTGATTTGTGTAGGTTTCTGGAAAGAAACATTTCTTGCAATGCAAATGTATGGCAGTCTACAGCACTATCAACAAATAGCATGCTTCCAATGACGTCATCAATCACGTCACATGAGCAAATCCTATAATACTGGCTACGAATTTGATCATGTATGACACAAGGTCATTTTGCTATGATTAGAATACAGAAAACCACATATCTAAAACGAAAGACCATCTGCCTAGCCAAGTAACATGAAAGACAAATTACGTCTGAGAATATCAAATGACTCTCGTGTTTACAGAAAGATTTAAGGAAGAAATATACCCAGAGATTTGTGCAGCATAAAACGAATTTACATCCAAGAAAATCACCATAACATCGACAAATAAGAAATGAGAATTGGGCATTGACTGCAGAGTGTATACAGAACAAATACTGTCTTTGCAAGTCAATAAAAAGTTTTTGCCCACACCAGCAATCAAGAGCCTCTTCTGCTCATTCTCTGAAGAAAAAATGATTTTGAGAGAAAACCAAACGGCAAACGTAGCGAAAAAATGAATTTTGATAGCTTCTTTCCACGTGTAATCGTCTAGTTAATTAACCAAGAAACTTTAGCCACATCTTACGAAAGACGATATGAAGGATGTTGTAGAAAGCAGTTTTCATTATTATATTCAGAATGAGGTTTTAAATAAAAAAAATCTGCCGTTAAATTGATCCAAGCTCAGCCTGAAATCTTCCTATAAACTTATTCAAGCTTTCACTTAAATGCAAACATTGGTCGAAGACCTGACGAGATGAGAGCCATACCAATATGAAGGTAAACTTAAAAATTGGATGAGCAATCGACGAAAATCTTTCTTAAACCTCATTTCAGTCTTTCGCTCATCCAAAAAGTATAAGATTGAGATAACTTCTTTTCACTGAGTTTCACGAGAAGAAGAAAACTCGTAGAAACTGCAAGTATGGATTCGTGAAGATTCTTTAACTATGAAAATTATTACTAAGTTTCAGAGAGCAATAAAACATCAAATATTTTAAAGGATACTAATTTACTTGAAATAAATAAAACATTCTTACAGAACTACTATCAATTTAATATTAAATGTAATATTAGCATCTATCAACTAAAAAGTTATTCAAACAATTCAATACGGCCTAAACAAAATATATTTACAAAACGGCACTCTAAGATTTCAGAAAAATTAAACAAACGCTAAGGAGTCTTGGACGACCGAGCCCCCGACGAAGTAATTAGGGGAGGGGGTGCTCTAAACAAGTTGCCAAAAACTTATAGTAATCTGCCATCATTATTTTTGTGCTCCAGCCCCCCAGCTACATTCAAATAGTGCTTTGTCTATTGACCTACATAACTGACCTAATGATACGGCGCAGAAACAGCGTCAAAAAATGGTAGCACTAAATTCCAAGAAAAAATAACCACTCTCAAAAGATACGATATCCTTTAAAGAGAGTATCGAGTAGTCGCTTTAAAGTGTAAACAAGTTCTTTCGAGATTAGATGCTCTTATCATAGACTTAAGAATCTTGATCGAAGATTCAGTTTATGTGCAATTCTTCACTGAATATTTGTACTTTATCGAAGACTCGATTTATTATCAAAATTTGCTTTGAGAAAACGCCAAGGAAATTTTCAAATTAGCTGGAAGATTTTGAAAATAATTCAAGTATTGCTATTGACGCGAGGCTTAATGTTTTGGTATCTAAAGTTCGATGAATGGTTTTTACTTCTTATAAAGAATAGAATTATTTGACATGTGGAAAATTTCACAATATCTAATTACAATACTGTTTAGCTCAATATAAGCTATTAATTTTGGCTTTTTAACACGACTATTGAACAAGCTAGTTACGTTTCGTCAACAACAGCAGTTTTCTCATGAGCAAAGAGTTCACTTGCTTCAAGTTTTCTTTCTCCGTCCGTAATGCTTTCTCTTCTTCCTGAAGACGCGGTACGAAGGCTTTCGCTTTCTTCAAAATCACTACCTTAGGCGCCCGCTCGTTATTTTCGATTTCGGGAATCGCCGCGCGTAAGCAGTCGAATTTTCGCTTCAATTCATCCTTCGTTTTCTTTCGAGATCGTTGTGCGAGACTCTTCCGTGAGTCGGACCTCCGTTCCGATTTCGTCCGGAAGGAGAGACCGATTCGTCGGTATCGGAAGAGTTGGGTGACGCTGAAACCGATGCCGGAGAAGAACTGCTTGTTTTACAAACCGCCTTTTTCGGCTTCTCTGTAGCTTTCTGGTGGTTTCTATCATGAGATATGGTCGTTGTGTCAGTCGCCGGCGTATTCTGTCGTTCGGGAACGCTTACAACATCGATTTCGTCTTCTAGAACGAGAAATATCGGATTATTGCAATGAAACATCGACGAAAACCCAGCCTCAAATGAACAGTCTAAAGTATATGAATAAATTGCAGAGAAATTTACCAATCATAGCGGTTACGAAAACCTATCGTTACGCATTACGACAATGTAGCTGGTGTCACTTTAACCATATAAGAAAGCGCGATGCTCACGCGGGTAAACGCAAATTCATTTTCAGAAACCACGCGCTGCACACGCTAGAGTTACCAGTTATGCGTACTTCAAACAACCGGTATTTCAAATACAACTACAGAAGCGCCAACCAAAGCAACCAAATAACAGCATGTTTGCAATGATTAGCTGTTAAGAAAACTGAGCAAATATCATAGACTTATTTTAAATAGTTGTCTATTTCTACCATGAATAAATAGAGTTGCTAAACCAATGTACACATCCAACCAGGCCCGGCACTAGAAGGGGGCGTGTGGGCTGTGACACCCCCTGTGAAAAATTCCATTACAGAAAGGAACAGTTTTGCAATATAGGGGTATTTAGTCGGCAAATTTCCAAACTTATCGGCAAAAAAGGATGGCTCACCCACTTTGTCGGCAAATGGGACTTGGAACCCCTTTGAGCACAATTTCTGGCGAACGGCTTGCATCCAGCATCGTTCCCAAGATACAACTTAATACTAGCTTACCTAGTTGTAATAGGTAACCAAAAGACCGGAATGTTTACCAAAGACGACAAGGGGGCATTAACAAGAGGGTTCAGCAGAACGATCGAAGGAAGAAATCAAGCCTCAATAGAGAATAGCTGTTATAACTATGATGATGGGTCTTTGATACAGGCACCGCGGAGCAGAGGGGGGATGGGGGGCTAGGGGGATTTAGCCCCAACTTTTTGAAAAAAAAATACAAAATATTAAGAAGTGACCAATCAGCAAAGTACTTTTAATCCGGTTTTAGACCTCCCCACTTCTTTTAGACCCCCTATTTTTCGCAACGCTCCGCAATGCCTGTGGTAAAGGCGTGTATCGCAATCTGGTACCTGTAAATGCACGAATACAAAGAAGAGTTAGGCTATGATAATAGAATTAACCAAACCAGACGGATTGTTTAGATGTTTATGACTTTGCTCACATGTGGCCAACGAGCACGCATTAAACATTTACAAACGCCCTGATAACTAGGCATATGTTCCAATACAGTCGACAAGAGTAACAAAGCAACTCATGTTTGCAGAATGGCAATGAGACTGGCAGCTTTCTTTGAATCTTACAATTTCATGTAATCACTTGTATTCGTTTTCACCCTGGTTATTTCTTAACACGGACGTTTTAGCTCCTGGAAGGTCGCCATTGATTGCAAGTTTAAAAATTTCAATAGAAAATGCAATTTTTCATTTCGATTCGCAAAATACCAAAACGGGGACTTTTATTTTACTGGCATGGCTTAGCTCTTTCCAAAGGAACAAAAGCAGTTTCAACAAGTTTCTAAATCAAAATTTGCTGTTCGATTGCAGGCCAAACAGATGTCGGGATGTCCAATCGGGAAGATCCCCTCCCATTCAAACCTCCCAAGAAACTGTTCCATAAAATAGCTTAACATGTTCACCTTTTCTGCTGACCCCCTACCCAGACGAGATACATATGACATTATCAAGCGATCTCATATCCTTCTATATCCAGGACCTTAGACAACATGACGTCAAACAGTGCTTCTTACATTAACAATATCAAACGTGTGTTCACTATTGCTGTTTATATAGTTGACTTAACATATCTCTGTCTGAACAAAGTTTGATTCAGTTGATCAAATTTGAGGCGATAGAATGAATAGACCAGACAGATGAGCTGTTTTTTCTGTTTTACTTGATTGCTTCAACTGGCAGGTGTATTTACACAGAATTGCATCATTGGTTTTGAAGCTGATGACTTTCAAGGAGGGGGAGAATTATTGTTGCCTTGATGCCTAGGACGTCGCCGAGGGTAAATGGACGACGGAGAACAGTAAATTCAGACTGAAGGAACCGGTACATTACTAGGGGGGGGGGCAATTGAAACTGTTGATGCTATACAAATTGGCGACTCCGTTAATTTCAAGGGGAGGAGAAGAGGTCATTTCAAACTTATTTGGGCGGCTGGAACTAAACATTTTGCGTTTCGATAATAAATCCAATTTTCAAAAGACTACACCAGGTCTAAATTTTACCATCTTGAAAAACAGCATAGACAAGGAACCATTCGCAGCTTTTCGGTTTCTAAAATATCCATGTAAAAATTGCTTGGAAAACCTGACGCCATTTTCATTTATTTCGTTTTATAATATTTGTAGACGAAAACGTCTAAATTTACTCTGCTAGGTAAAAAACAGCTAAAATTGAAATCCCTGAATTCTAAATTCTTAATTTTTATTTAACGAAAGTAACTTTAGAAAAATGAAATTTATAAGCTCGTTGAACACGCAGGTCTGCTGCGCTTAAAGCGCGAGTACTGATATTTGGCTACCTTAGCGTCATGAGTAAAAATCCATCCATCAAGACAGAGACTAAAGGCTGATTTCCACTAGGCGAATTCTTTTGCGGGAATCGAATTTTGCCAATGTGAGCATGCGTGGTGTAATGTTCTCAGATTTTGCAGCAAAAAAATTCGATTCGCAGAAAGTAGATCACGGTCCTACTCTATCGCTACGAATGTTTATTCGATTCGCGCGAAAGAATTCGTCTAGTTGAAATCGGCCTTAAGAGCGTGAAGCATAAATTACGACAGCCAGGACAGATTTCGAGATCTGATTACGCAGACTCGAAACAAAAGTTCAATACAGTCATCTAGTATTTATCCAACGCTTCAAATTGTATGCTTCTATTTGCTTATTTGCTTCTATAGCCAGATAATGACTTAACAAGGAGCAGATGCGAGTCAGTATGAGCATGTCGAAGTCTGGGAAAGTATTCAAAGGCGTAGAAACGGGGGGATTGTTGCTAGAAGTGAACATAATCTAAAGGAATGAAATCTGGAATCAGGAGGGGGAGAGTATCCAAAGGCGTAGAAACGGGGGGGTTGTTGCTAGAAGTGAACATAATCTAAAGGAATGAAATCTGAAAGCAGGGGGGGGGGATATTCAAAAGTGTAGAAGCAAGGGGATTGTTGCTAGAAGTAGACAGAATCGAAAGGAATGAAATATAGAACTCATAGTAAGCCATTCAGCAGGGAAAGGGAAATCTAAAGACCTCAAAACTCCAAACACCTTTTTCATGCAGCATTTTTGCTTGATGTATGAAATAACATTGTCGATACACTTAGCCTACAATTTTTACTTATAAGGGCAAGCTTTCAAACAATATTTATACGATAAATAAATAATATTAAAAAAATGAAGAAAAAAACTGAAATTTCGAAGAATTGAAAAAGATCAGATTAAAATGCGCAACTAGAGAGCGTTTATCTGTGGATTATCTTGTTACAACATCCCGCTTAATTACAAAGTTACATTATGGACTTGAACAGGCAGATTCTAAGGTTTACAAGTCTCGACATAGCCTTTAAGAGGTAAATTAGCTGGGGTTGGGGTCTTTGCTTATATAAAGAGATGGAAGAGTCAGAAGGACAATAGCTACTTTTTAAACAACGGAAGGTCACGGGACTGGAGGGGTAAATGAACCCCTAGTTAGCGTGTGAAAAAGGGTTCGGGTTTCGAATAGAAAAAGTGCTCACTTTAATGTAAATTTGACAATTTAATGTAAAATGGACCCGCCCCCGGCCTTTACTTACTGCTTGACTTAATTCTTCTTTTGCAGGTACATCTGTGTACCGAAGGACTGATTAACTAAATTCCGTTAAGATTTCTTTTAAGATTGCTTAACAGGTAAGATTTGATTTGTTACGTAAAGTTGCAGTTACTCTTAAGGCCTACGTTAGCAAAGTCACAACGGCTACTTGTAGTCTATTTACAGAATTCATCATACTTAAGTTGTTTTTCAAGGTTCAAGCATAGCAAAGGTTACTGGGCTATCAAATTTTACTGGGCTACAAAATTAGACCAAGCTTGATTTTAACTGTGCCCATTCTAAAATTGTTAATCAATTATTGTTTTTTTTCTAGCTGCACAACATAAATTACCTATTTTATATCTATCAGACTGTATAATACCAGCTGTTGTATTAAGACCAGCACAGCCATTAAGCCAGTTAGTAATCGCTTATTTTTAGCGACGATCAGTTATGTTAAATGAGGTCCTGAGAAAAAGCGGTGATTACAGCCCAGAAACATGGCGGTCTCACAGTCCGTGGCCGTGCGGCAAACCAATGAAAACAAAGGAAATTTAGGTGCTCGCCCTCGAATCCACCCTTGTTTACATCTCTTTTCTTAATAAGGTTTTCAGTGTTTAAGAGTACAGTTGAATCTTATTAAGTTGTATCCCAGATGACTTGGAAATTCGCCAAGTCGGTCTGATTTTAAATTCCCATCTGAAACTTTTACCTTGTTCAAGTCAAAAGACGTACCTCGGATAATACGGACATTCACTAAATCAGATCATTTGCTTACTTCCCTTACGGAGAAGTGAACAAGTTTCTGGCTTCTTGATATAAATTAGTAAGAAACAAAGACCACTCTAACCAAACTCTTTCCGATTCACTCAAGTTTTTAAAGTCCTATTGCCCTCAGTCTCTTCGCAATGAGTACACTATTGCTAGTAGTAACTGCTTAAAGTAAAGGTCTGATATTTTTTTTCGATTTTATACATAACAGAATAAGAAAATGTTTTTGGAAGATGATGAAATGACGATCAAGGTAAATAATGAGCTGGTGAAGATCTTGGTCATGTAAGAAAAAAATTCTACAATAGGATGAATGAGGAACCCTAAAAAAGGAGCATTTGGCAGATTTCACCAAACAATGCAAAAGCTCCTTGATCGAAACTAACAACAAAATAAGTGTAAAAACAAGTCTAGACTTGAATAGCAGGGTTTAGAAAATGAAATAAGAAAAGGCTTCTATGATTCAATGAGATCAAAAGTTTGTGACGAAGATATTGATGAGGCAAACCAAAGTGTCAACAGTCAGAGATGATTATGGGAAAATATTTGTTTGAGAAAATCAAAATAGCCTTATGTACATTACTGAGCAAATCTTCCCTATATTTATATGGTATTTAAACCGATACATAAAAACGAAGTTAAATCTGTTTGACAAGGAATTATGACATTCAGCAAGGTGATTTTTGACCTAAATAAAAGTACAGCATATAAGATAAATACCTATTAAAGTTAACAGTCATAAAAAGATGACGACAAAATATTTATCGCATATCAGTGAGAAATCAAATATATGAAAAATGTAACAAAAATAAGAAAAATATGACACTTACCACTTTCGGTTTCATTTGGTGACAATAACGGTAGGTTTCTTGTAGCTGTAAAATTCGAGGAGAGTTTCAATGGCGTAACGGCATCTTTCGATAAATTCTCGATTTCTCTCGGCGAAACAGTGGATGTGATTGGTACAAAAAGGTTCATGCTACTGCGGTCGTCGAAAATAATCGGAGTTGTCGCTGTAGAGCGAAAAGTTAATTGAAGTGGCGTTGCGGCGAAGTTTCGAGACGGGCATCTCGTAAGTGAAGTATTGTTGTTATCAGGCGAAGAGCGAGATGAGCGAATTTGTTCCGCTGTTCCCCACATACAGTCGCTTTTCAACATCGGCAGGCGAAGGTCCCGGAAGTCTTCGGCGAAATCGTAAAATGGATCGTTTTCTTCGTTATCATCGAAGCATGTTGTCGAATACAAATCAAAGTTATCGGTAAAAGTCGATTCTTTAACGAAATAGTCGCTTTCGTCGTCATCAACGAATGATTCAAGTCTTGGTGTTGACGGCGGCGTCAAGTAGCTGTATATTCTGCTGGCGTACTGATGGTCGTCACCTATCAATGGGTCACGTTCTTTTCGCGCCATTTTCAAATAATAGTGACAGTAGCTGATTGCTGTAATAACAGATTTGATATCCTGTTTAGAAACTTTACTGTAGTCAACGATGAGTTTGAAGTCTCTTTGATTCTCTCTGAAATTCTTTGGTGACTTTGCAACTCTGCCAGACAGCTCCAGTCGTGTACAACCACTCTCACTACACTACACTTACTTCCGCGATCAAACAGATGAAGATGAATTCTTCCGACTTTTACGATCACCCATATCTTGGCAAACTTCTCTCTCAAAAATACCTCCGAACCCTCAACGCTGTTTTCTTCAATGTAACTCTTTTGAAGCGATAAATGCTTTGCCTTACAGAGTGTCTGTACGCAAAGAAAAATCTTCTAGTTGTCCACAAAGACAGCAAGTTATTTCGGAAAGCTAAACAAATAGAATGCTGCCGTGCAACGAATTGCTAAGTGTACTCAAACGTGTGTTGTTGAATCAACTGAATTTCTTTTCGATAGTGATTTTCAATCTCTTTCAGTCGCATTTATGATCAAGAATTTGTCTAAAGCACTAGTTATGTTTACACCATTCAACTGGGGTACCAGCCGTTATTGCAAGTGCTTTATTGGTAACGGCCGGCGCACGTGTTTCACAAGTGTACACATAATCTCAAAAATCTTATGATCTTTCATCAACGAAAGAATCACTCGCGGCTTAAAAGAGTAGGGCACCCGCGCGGCACGGGGGATCTGTTAGCTCAACAAATGCTGCAAACAGTTGAAAACCGCGTTTGTTTCACCTGATTTCAGTGAGTGTGGGAGTAGGGCCACCAGTTGATTAGAAACATTTGATACTAAAACTGAAAGTATCTACCATTTAGACCCCCTGATTGCCGAAGGAAACCTTTTGAAAAGATACACACCGGTGATCTTGTGCCGAGACGGACAAAATATACTGATGCCGAGCTAGAAAATCTACTGTAAAAGTTAACTTTATTTTATGACCTGATAATCGAAACCGCAGAGGTAGCGATAAATTAGTAGCCGCGTGTTTTCGTTATGTCACATAGACCTGTTCCAAGATGCCAAAGATTGGCAGTTTAGGGATAATTGCGTAATGGGGAAATTAGGGGGGGGGGAGGTTTTTATCTAGACCTTCGGCGCAAATAAATTGTGATCCAGCTCAGTTTTGACGATCTGAAGGCTATTGGAACATTAGATTTTCTGAAGCTTGATATCTTGTTGACGTTTGCTGAATTTTAAAAAAATTCTCAACAAAAAATGTTAGGCAAACTCACCGATCCTAGCTGAGCAAAGGAAGGCGGGAAATTTGAAAATGAGTGACGCGGCACCTAGAAAATTTCAAAAATGATAATAAACTGTCAAGATAAAACAAGTAAAATTTTCTAAAATGCATATCTTATAACCAAAATGAAAAATTTTTCCTTTGATTTTCAACGAAAAACATACAAAGCAAACAGAAAATATCGTTAAAATAACTAAATTCGGTTTATTGTAGCATCCCTCTGTTCTGAATAATTTTTGAACTTCAGTGCTGTCCAATTGACTCCTTTTTAGATAGCTATAATTAATAACTCAATGTATTGGGGTAGGGGAGACGCAGGTTCTGTTTTGTTTGCCGAAAGATATAATTTTCTAAAAACGTCTTAGCTTCCCCCATCTAAGCATACAAACAGGGGATTATTTTCTGGTTATAGGTGCCCCGCTTCAGTTCTATTCCTAAGGGCCCCGATACCTTTGTTACTGCACTAGTTGCAGGCCAAATCGCGGGCGCATTTTATGGATGATTATCCGTCACTCTTGAAAACTGGGCGCAAATAAACTAGAATGCTTACCAAAAGTCTTGGAAAAATAAGCTAAAATTACGCATAAATTCAGTAGCACCCCCCCCCCCCTCAGATAATTTAATACAATAGTTTCAAAGCTTGAAGCTTAACTAATGTAACTCTATCATCTAGGGTAAGCAATAGGCTTCTCCCCGTTTTGGAGAGGGTGATATTTTTGTATCTTACGGCTGGAAACTTTTATTTCATGAAAATCAATCATTGACTGCAAGGTATTCCAAGGGCTTTTGGAAAGGATTGAAGATAGTAGAAATACGAAGTTTTTAATGGTTTATTGGACAATTTGCAAAGGAAAGAAACATTTGTTTGTATTGATGTTCCAGAGAAACGAATTTCTCATCTTGTGTAAATACTTGTATGCCAAATATGTGTTCATATGCGTAAAATCTTGATGATGAACAAAATACTTTTCTTTATCCTCATATCACATAAAGATGATTTGATTGCCAAGGTTTAAATCTGCATCAGCCAGGAAAAGTTTTTATTTTTTAGGACCTAATATTTTAATAAGCTTCCTCTTGAATCTCGTAGCTGGAGCGAATTAAAGTTCTTTATATAAGTATTACACGTAATTTATCTCCTTCGTTTTAACCCTCTTCCATTGTATAGCTCGCTCACTTTGACATTTTTCTAATTTGGTTTTATCTTTATTTCTAGACACACATTTATAACAGCTTTTCGTAAGTTGAAGTGTAAATTCAGTTTAAATATTCGTTAAATAAAAAATAAAAAAAATAGAGAGTAGTAATGTTGGTAAAAATTCAAGGGAGATGGGGATGTTGTGCTTGAAAATTACTTCGTTATAACATTTGAAGCTGGTTTATTCAAGAATCAAGATAAACACAAAAGGCAACACTTCCTACGCCTCCAACGAGTTGTACGGCCATCAAAAGTTAAAGCTTACAAACTGACTATTAAAAACAACTAACATAGTTCACTTTGGAAGCATCTTTGGAAATCTTAATATCATCATTATTATAACGATCAGTAAAATGGTTAAATTGCTTATCCAATAAGCAAACACGGCCTAAATGGCGGGAGATTTGATTGAATTATATTATATAAAAGCGGGCGACTGCCATCAAAACAAAAATCGTTTATTCCACGTGGCTTTGATAGCGAAATACAATGCATGAACAATTCAATTGTTTCGTTTGCGCGCCGATGTAAAGTGCGCACAATTCTAGAATTAACTGGACTTAATAAGTTTCAATGTAATAATGACAATCTAACGCCACCAGGTGTGCATGCCCTTTGAGGCAATCGTTTATATTGTGTTGTTCTTCTCAATGTCGTAATAGGATGGCGGCTGCAAAGTTATGAAAACATTTAGAGGTCTACTGTTAATATGAATGGCTTTTGCAATAAAGCGGTGAAGCCCTGAAAAGTGGCAGTTAACAGACTGAAAATTATGGAAAAGTCGTCAAAGTTTTATTACCACGCCCAAGCCTACGCATTCAAAGACCGACAAACAACTTTTTGTTTAGGGGGGCAGCCCTGATAAATAATTGTAACAACAGCCATATTTCATAAAATATAAGTATTTTACTTATGGTACCTAAGTATTTTGGGGGGACAAGTCCCCCCGGCTCCCCGGTATCTCGGTCCTTGTACTTATTTATTCATCGCTCTAAATTTGGGTTTTCAGAAAGCGAACTTCATGCCCAATAAGGGAGAGACACATTTTTCTAGATTCTGCGACATGGCTTCTGTGAAGCGGTCCGAAAACATAATGACAATAATGATCAATTCATTCACAGAAGTTATTAGATTTGTTTAGGCGTTCTGTAAGAATCAATTAAAATCGAGGCGAAAATATACAGAAATTTTGCCAGTGAACTACAGCGATGCTAATGCAAAGAAAAATATATTTATCAAAAATCGAGAAGGACTAAAGGGGGTTTTTAACAGAAAAGGAAATGCCAATATTAACAGCAAGAGGAGTAACATCAGTAAAAAAGCGAATGAAAAGTTCTACCAAGGCAAAGTAATTATATTTGTGTGCTTTATGAGAATAAGCTGGTAATTTAAAGTCCAGACGTTCATTTAGTACGCCAACTTTAAACAAATTATTCATTATTATTATTATTATTATAAAGGCTTAGAGAGGCTTTGGATCTAACGATATCGCGAATCATTTTTCATTATGAATCTTACAAACGGTATTGATATACGAAACCAGAAGATTTTGTGATACATCGTCTCATGCTGCAGGAGTTTCTTGTCATTTGCTCTAAAATATTTTGGGTAGTTAAAAACGGGGGATTAAAATAGGGGGGGCGAGAAAAGCCTCAAAACTTCCGAAACAATCACAAGATATAATTGAATCTAACATAACTGATATGTGACTATGCAAATCAGGCTACATTAAGGCTCCCCCTTCCTACCACTGCTCATTTTGAAATCGAGGTTGCTGTCTTTCCATTGGGTGCCCGGGAGTGCGACATTCCCAAAACCTCCCGGCATTGGCGTGCCTTTAGGTGGATCCCTGTCCCTAATAGAGGTTTCACTCCAGGCCAGAGCTGGACAGTACAATCTTTTTTAGGCATGCTCTAGACTGCACCCCAGGATCTGAAGCGGTTTACAAAACCGCGAGGTTTACAAAACTCGAGTATAACAAAAGTAGCTTGCATATAGTAAGTTTTGAACAGTTGTTTTTGCCCTGCAGCATGCACAGCGGATGCTTAACTTGGCTTTTTATTAAGCCCCTAAAATGGTTTGTTATAAAATGAAATTACAATTTTGCATGCATAGGGCATAAACATTGTTCTCTTTAATAGAGTGTATTCACATGGGATGAATAATTGATACTGTCTAAGACCTGAAACCTTTGTGTACAGTCAGTTTTCATTTGTCAAAAGTACTTCCTGTTTTGGCTGACAGCGATATCTTAACAAGAGGAAATAAGAAAACAAGTAATAATGAAACGACAAGACGGCAATTCACATACAAAATGTGTTAACAAAGAAACAAAGAAGGTATTTTTATATCTACCACAAACGTCATTGGAATATGTGGTCAGGGCACCAACAGCTGAGTATAGAAACTATGGCTTGCATTTTAACTTGCTTTTGTAGTATAGCTTGCATTCTCATGCTAAAGGATTTTAAATATCAAATAATTTAATATGAATATGAAAAATATGAATGTGATCCTCCATTTTCGTACATAGTTGAAGCAAAATTCTCACAAACAATGTAGAATATATCTCTCTCATCCTCCAATTTCAATATCTGATGAAGATTTTGTCAAAAAATTTGATCACATAACAGGGCTTTTAAAGAAAAGCCAACAACTAGGCCTTTGAATTCTTAGGCCATGGTACTCAGAAAATTGTCGTTGAGAGAAGTCTTGAACAATTGCGATAAAGGGGTGGCCAGCAAAGAGCGGAATTGTCTAGTTTCCATACTCCTCGACCGGATAATCATAAATAAGCATGATTAATAGTCATAAATTAGTATGATTAATTATTTCAAGTAAAGGGTTAGGGTTAGGGTTAGGGTTAGGGTTAGGGTTAGGGTTAGGGTTAGGGTTAGGGTTAGGGTTAGGGTTAGGTTGAGGGTTAGGGTTAGGGTAAACTAAAAACGTCACCAGGTCGAGCAGTATGGAAACTAGACAGCTCCGCAAGGAACGGGCTGATACCCCCATAAAGTTTCGGGGGATTAATGTGAATTTCTCTGGAATTTGGGGACACTGTTGGGTAGGGTTCTAAAATATATACCCTTTTTGTTCAGAGACTAGTAACTTGGAAAAGATTTTCAACCAAATTGAAAAATGTTATTTAGCCTAAAAGATGGAAAACTACCAATACAGCAAAATATCATGAGATGAAACCTGACAATTTTTGTTTTGCTTTAAGGGAGAGGTAGACAACATATATACTAAATTCATATTCTGACGAATAGGACGAAAATATTTCGGATTAACCCCTCCCTCTTGAATAAAGAAATGAAGTTGTATAGGCAAGAGGTACTGAATGGGCAACCTTAAAAGTAATGTGTTCGCGCTTTTGATTGGCCTTTTTCGATTTACAACTGGGTATGCATATTTCCTAGGTTAGCATTTCGATCATTTTTCTAACGTTCTATGCTCTGCGAGAGAAAAGCATAAGTGTGTTTCAAAACTTTTGTTTTTTTAGACCTTTTACCTTTTTCCATGAATACAAAGGAGCCAAATTACAAAACATACATATTTCATACCTTCTTATGCCATATAGATGTAGCAAAATACGGGGCACGATCCTCAACGAAATAAAATACATCCTAACTTAACAAATATTTTAAATAAATTATAATTTTCATTTTACAACAGAATATTTTTTTATACATACAACAAAATAAATAGTACTTGTGACCAATGCATTGTATCTTTATGTATATATGGTATTGTAACTTTAATAAATTGGTTTTAAGAAGCTTTAGGGTAGCTAGATATTGTACCAACTTTAGATAAAGAAAGAAAAAATGACGAGATAAAAATATGAGGATACCACTGTAGCGTGGAATGAAACACTGAGATAGAAAAGAGCACAATCCTTCAGGGATTGAATTGTATCTAGACACGTTTCACTAATCCGGGTTAAACAAACATAGAAAATCCCATTCACCGGACTGGTAATCAGAACATATCGATTCTGGTAACTGTTTAAATGTTTGTTTACGAGCTGGTCATTCAACCGGACAAAACAAACTTCTACGGCACGAATTGTTGAAGATTTTCCCAAAAGAGCATTTCAATAGCACACCCTAATGTAGAGCAGAAAAGCCGGTTATTTGAAATGGAACCAGAAAGCACCGAAACCGCACGGGTCATTCGACATGTGGTCCGTAGCTGGTTACCAAGCAACAATCCGATTCATAACGTCACAACGTAAACATTGTTGGTACCATTAACAAACAGCTCTGTTGGCGTTATCGAAACACCTGCTTGAAAAAACAAAGCTAGATCAATAGGTTTAATATTGGTAATGAGTTATAAAAAGGGGCACCAGTTTAAAACATCGAAGAATGATTCGAAGCATGAAAGAACGTTGAGACCACATGCTTACTAATTACCGTCTATTTTGAAGCACTGATTTAAGTCCCGTTGATCTTATGTTACAATTAAACTCATTCAATAACTCGCTACACAGAGATGTCACGCTATACATTTCTATTACAAAGCGCAAGGTCAATTAACAATTGAATTCTCAATAGGAGTTTAGCTACAAAGTTATCAGATATAATCAGCATATTGCATTTTGATCAGGAAAACGCAGACATTAAAGGTATTGCCACAGCATTGCCAAAGCTAGAAATCCGAGTCAAGTGTAAGCAAATAAATACTCCTTTACCAGCAAGGGGCGAGGAAGGACGGGGTTTCTCTCTTTGTCCTTGATCAGATGGCCTTGATTGGGGTGGTGACTGAATGGTACAAATCTTATGTTGGGGGAGGGGGGGGGGGGTCTTTGGAACTCTCTATTTCAAACCAAACACGCATCTAAGCATTAGCAAGCACCTTGTGTTGTATTTCAATTCATTTAAATTTTGCTTTGTTGACCGACCATCTAAGAATTTGTCAAAGAAGTTCTTGATGCTGATTAAATAAAGTTACATGCCTTGCTTTTTGTTATATGTACATCCTTGCCTTAGAATTTCAATGCAATAATCATTTAATGCCAAGTCAAAAACACGTCTTGCGGTCTCTTTGCCTAGCAAAGAAACACTCGCTAGGATTTTGTCTGTTTCATGATCGTATCTCTGATCTTGAAATAAAATTAATCAAGACGAAAGTGTGTGCTTTCAAAGCATGCCAACGTCCCAAAGAAATTCACGGAATATGCATTTATTATGCATTTGATGCCAAAACATCAGTACATGATTCTCATCGAGTTTAAGCAGACAAAATCTATACTTCCGCACTGAAAATGACTCTTGCTAGAATTGCACTCCTTATTAGAAGATACCTCTACGGCATGTCTCAGTTGTTATTTCACTGAATTCATTATTCAGTTTCCTTACACTGTTCTCTTTATATAAGGAAAAAATGTCTATAAGAATATTAAGGCTTAAAATCGCCGAAATTTAAGAATAATTTAAGAATAGAGCAAGGGTCAAGCTTCATCAAGAATCAAATTTGCTTTTTATTTGTGTTTTTATAAAAGCAAAACAAGTGCTACTTTCATGCCTTGAAATTTGGCCAAAAACACATTTGGCCAAAAACACCATCATGCAACCCAGTTACATCTTGTGTCGCTTAAAAATGATTTGAGCAGTGGCCGATTTAAGGGGGGGGGGCAACTAGGGACAGTTGCCCCTCCCTCAACGAGTTGAAGCAAGTCTGGCGCCCCTTTTTGGAAATTGTGCGCCCCTTTTGAAGAATGAGAATCAGGGGGAAAAGTTTCTGAGACCGATAGGTTAATTTGCTTCAAGGATTACCTCAAAGTTATGTTGTTTATTCTGAAAAGGTATATGAAATTGTCGTATACAGCGTACTCTTGTCATCAATTTTTGGAAATTTTCCAGCACCCCCACTATCGACAGCCCCTCCTTCAAATTTGCTCTGGATCCGCCTCTGAATTTAAGAATAATTTTGGGCTTAAAATTAAAAAAATGAATATTGAGGCTCAGCAAAAAAATTAGGTATTCTTATAAAAAAGTGTGTATTGCCTGAAAGGATTAGAACCAACAGTTATAGAAGGGGCATTCTGTTTGGGGCTAAGAAAACACCTCTATCCCCTGAAAAATGAAACGTATTTTTTCTATGGGCAATTAAACGACAAGAAACTATACAAGTCCAGTAAAATGATTCAATTATGAATATCATACAAAGAAATTTCACTGATGAACCTCCACCCTGGGTATAAAAGTTGGGGATCGAACTGTGAAAAGCGTTAAGTAGAGATAGGGTCATCTTTTGCGGCCTTTCATTGCTCAACTCCACTTTTCAAGTTTTAGAAACCGTTTTGAGGCATTAGTTAAAGAACCCCATGAAATATTTTCATCAAAAGCCAAAGATTATCACATCAAGTTCAACTGATATGGGGACGCTCATGCTAGGGTACTGACAAGCTGTATTACTGATCAGAGACGCCGGAGAGAGGGCACAGGTCGAGTGTTCCTGTTGCCTTTTGATAGGAGGGGCAAGGGGGCCGAGCGCCCTTTTTATAAAATGCCCTGGACATCGCCGTTTGTAATTAGCAAAAGATTCATATGAAATTCTGACTTAACCACCTTATTCATGATGACATTTTTCAATACAGTTAGCGGATTTTCAAGGTACAACGAGAAAATTAAAAAAAGACAGTTACGAAAGAATTGCTAAAAGCTGAGAATTATTTTTCAGATGCCTGCCTCAAGCGTGCCTCCTTGCCCCTTGGCTGTTTAGGCATTCTTGTTACTAATTTTTGGGCATACTAACTTAATAGCATACGCAGCCCTCGAGTCTAAATACAGATGTTCCAAAGGCATTACTACCACGACGTGTCCTGAATACTGATCTCCACGAATCACAGGCAGAGCAACTGATAAAACAAAATCAAATCGCTGACCAAACAAAACGATCGCTGCAATTTAAGTTGTTAATTTCCAACACGGAGGTGTCAGCCCGTCAACTTGTCTCCTGTTTTCCTATTCGACATCATGTTGTACTGAAGCAATTATTCAAATACAAACCCCCTGTATATTGCTGTAAAGAAAAAGTGAGCAATAATATGTTCTTTCGCAGAGACATAGTCTAACATTGTACACTGCAAACCAGGACGATGGGCAGCCAAGCATTACTTGCTGGTTTACTGATTACGGCTGACATTTTGATATTTTCAATCAAAGCAGATCAGCATAAATATGACCAAGATGGACATACACATTCTACGAGTGAAGATCATAAGCTATTTTTAGGTGAGAAAATGAAGAAGGAATTTGATTCTCTGTCGTTGGAAGAATCCAGACGACGATTGAGGTAAGACCGGATAATTATAATATATTAAGTGTTTGATTTAAGGCATAAGTTGATTATACTATAATTTATTAGTTTAAGAACACGCATTTAATCATGTAAAGAAATGACAGAAAGAACCCAGAGTTGGGCGTTTTTGTCATTTTACCAAGAAACAGATATCAGGAGAATGGCTGTGTGACGTTCGAAAGTAATTTTCAAATTTTCAAGGAAATTTGTTGGTATTTAGAAAGTAAGTTGGAAACTGGCTTCGTTGAACATCGAGCCTTCAAGAAATATTCGTAACTTCAAGGACCTTTCTGGCCGTAAAATTTTCATGGAAAATTAACAGATGTACTTAGTAAAGAAGGTCAAAATTTCATCCCTCCTTACAATAATACTGTTTTGATCCTTTATGTCCATACGTACGAAAGGAAAAACATAAATTACGATACCAAAATTACAGACCTTCTTTTCAAAATCCCAATGTGAAAGTTAGCCTTTTTTTTTTTTAAAAATGGGTGACTTATTTTAAAAGAGTTTGCCAAAAATGAAAGATACGAGATTTGTACGATATTGAATTTCATACCCACAAGACAATTCTACACTTTTTTTAATTTTTGCTTGAAAAAGACCTGATCACAAAATGCAATTATCTAAAGTATGAATGGGGTTTAACCAGAGACGGGTGCTTGGTTAATGGGATTGAGCTTAAAAAGAGCAACAAGCTTTTACGTAATTGAAACACTGAAATGCTTGTATCCAAGCTACAGCTACATTTTTCCATCCCTCTCAACCATATATTTTTCCGATCATTACAAAGGCACTGCAAACAAATACACAATTTCACTCAGTATAGATCTCCCCATATTCAAATTTACTCCTTAAACATATTCATAAACAATCAATAAAAAAAAGTTGAAAAATTACCTTCAGACGAAAGCTTCATGTGGACTAACTCAGCTGCAGATACGTTGGCAGGCAAGACACAGGGTATAGGACCCACGATGCCATTTTATTAGATTCCATTGGCAAAGCAAAATAACCAGTCCATCAATTGGCATTTGTAGAAGCTTGTCGTTTGCTAGAATATGAAAAAGAAGATTTTGTGACTTAGCTACTAAACAAAATGGGGTTCACTCTCATGTTTCTCCAATTTTTACTTTTAAAACCGCACGTTAGCTGGCGTTTAGCTTTACGCGGCTATGGAACTCAGGTACACAATTCAGCGTATCAAACACTAGAGTTTACATCACGTAATCTTTGTTTTGTTGCATATGCTATGGTATTAATAAATTAGGGCACTTCTCTTTGCACAAGAGATGAGACTAGCGATAGGCCAGCGATACATTAGCTTGTCCAACTTAGGCCAAGTGAATGTGGATCAAAATGTGCAAATTGGATAGCTGTGATAACATGCTTCTTATTCGTATGATTGAAAAAGTTTTACAAAAATTACAATCTACAATTACCTCGATACTTTTCTGAATGACTTTTACAGGATTCGGGCCTAGCAACTAACAAAAAAGTAAAATAAGTATCTTCCTTCGCTATATTGAAGTGAAAATATGGTCTTGTACGTTAAATCCAGAAGGATTTGTAGTAGGACTAGTGACTAAGAGTAATTGATTTCTCAAAGTCCAAGATAGATGCAGTTCCCAGCATAAACATCTTTTTTACGGAATTTATTGGAAACAAAGTGACATGTTTTGAATCACGCTCTACACTATGCTTTTATGCATAAAAAGGCATGCATAATTTTGGCTTTAAAAACTCGGCAGAGAGAGAATAAACATTTTTTTTAAATTCTGTGACTTTTATGAACAAATTCCTTGCAAGTGCTGAATTTTTGTTTCGTCAGTAAATCGCTCCACAGCATCAAAACACGAATCAAAAATGTTTCAGTCCTTCTCAAAACATGGCTTAAAATACTGTAAACTAAACTTGAAAGATAATGCATCAGAAAAAGCTACATTTCATATTGAAGAGTCTCGTTTGAATTATTGACAGGCTCCTTGTTCCTCATATTGACTTGGACAAAGATGGTTTCATCACTTTCCCTGAACTAGAGACATGGATAACACATAAATTGAAGCGATGGAACATCAAGGAAGATGTAGAAGCGTTATACAGAGATTGTGACAGGAATCGAGATGGCAAAGTGGCATGGGATGAATTCTCATTAACCCACTATGGTTTCCTGGAATCAGGTAAAACGATTGAAGAAGGCTAGAATACCAGAGAATAGAAGATCAGGGTTTAAAAGGGTGGCTTTGCTTTGATGTGCTAGGCAAGATATACTGTGTATGACCAAAGTCACCAAGGATACACAAAATACTAGCTTTTAAAGAACTCAATGGTAAAAAGGCTTTCATGAGAACTGGTGTATCTGAGGAAACGTGTGGAAGGGTTAGCAAAAGTAAAGCAACAGAGTGTAATGACAACCTGTGGAAGTAACTTGGAACCGGACCATTTTCCAACAATCATTAACAACTACTCCATTGTCTAACAAACAGATTTCACCTTTGCACCTACCACAGTTTTTAACTACAAATGTTTTAGAATACCTCACTCTTATCATGACATTTCAGGGACAATTTAATAAATTTGACCATGAATCCAGGAAATAGCCCTAGAAGTAAGACATCACTGTTGTTTTGAAACAGCTCAGATTTTAGAGCAAATAACAATAACATTGTGTTAATGCAGAGAGCCAGTAGTATTCATGTGGCCATATCTCAACCAATTGGAAACAATTTTAGCTTCTTTCTCACATTTAAAGGTATTTAAAAGTGCCCTTTTAGTTCATATGGTCCAATTAAAAAATGCTGTATAGATTATTAATATGACATAAATCTCAAAATATTTTATTGGGGTTCAAGCAAAAATTTTGGATAAAATGTTAGCATTTAAAGTTAATTTAATTCCATGTAAATGTATTTGCAGACACACATGGCTTGGCAGAAGCAGGAAAAGAAAATTTCAAGGACCTCATCAAGAGAGACAAAAGAAGATGGCTGGTTGCTGATAACAATAATGATACAATGCTAAATGAAACAGAATTTGAGTTTTTTAGGCATCCTTGGGAACACGAGGTCATGATGCGAATTGTAGCAATGGTGAATAATATGATCAAAATTAATACATTTCAGTTAAATCACAATGACCTCTCCTTCTGGGGAATACCCCCTCTGGCTATATGTTTAAGTGGTGGCATTGCTATTATAATTTGATTTAAAAGCATAGATTGCTTAAAACCTTTAAGGGTCCAATTTTATAAAAACATTTAGCACAGCTTCAAATAAAACTGGCTATTAATTAAAAGTTAAGCTAATGCCATTAGATTCTAGTATATTTTTAGCTTGATCTCAGGCATCCTCAGAGAGAATATTCTCCAAAGACTACATAAGCAAATATTTTTGAAGGAATAAACTCACAAGGAAATCAGTACTACTTTGTTCTTTTATGGAAACATTCACTTTGTTACTCTAAATGACACGCTTAGTCCAAAAAGGGAGAAAATTCCAGAATAAATATGGTCTGATAACAGCTTAATAAGTATAATATACAATAATATACTTTCATACAAAAAACTACACAATCAATAAATTGAAAAGAAACAATTAATCAGTAAAATCTAGCTTGCAGGGTTACCTGTAATTAGATAGATGAAAAAGAACAAAAAAATCAGACATGAAGAAAAGGCCTTCAAAGAATTTTAAATTATTACTGTGAATTGTATTAAGTCTAACATAATACATGTTGCAAACAACTGTATGCCATAAAATGAATTTAGGTATTAACAATTAAGACATTTATATTAAAACCTACATAGATACAGGAGACTGATTATATGGTAGACTTATTTTTGGAATCAAATTTTATTGACAGGAAGAGCTTGAGGAAGCTGATACAAACAAGGATGGTTTTCTCTCCATGAATGAATATATAGGTACATTCCTATTTTATACGACAAAGAAATAGTAAATTTAAAATATGATATATTTAGTCTTTAACTAACACTTACCCTTTGCCATTAACTAGGGACAAAAAGGCCCCCCTCCCTCAAACGTCAAATTTGGGGGTTAATATAGACACTGCTGCATTGTCTAAAGTTGTAGGAATATAACCTTAAGCCTCCCTCCCTCCAAAAAAAATTTAATCTCATGCTGTGTCTCTGACTACCTACCTACCTAACTTACCTAACAATCTGAAGAATTATCCCACAATAACATTATTATAAATGGCAACCAACTAGTTCTGAATTTCCTGTTGATATTTAAATTTGCATATTAAAAGTATTTCATAGACTAGCCGTTATTAGCAGTAAATGGATAACTTTTCATTTTAGCGTCTATACACCTCCCTGAAATGAGGCATTTCTATGAAAAAGAATTCCATGAAAAACATGACATAAACCGTGATGGAAAACTTGACCTTGTAAGTATATTCTGATAAATTTATTGAATTTTCCAAAAGGGAAAGCTTAATTTTACCACAGACAGGCGTGCAATGTTGATAGAATTTAAGAGTCGATCAATAAGACAAATTTAAAAGCAAATTTGTTCATTTAAATGTAGAAAAATACCAGATAAGAGGAGTTGCGGAGACAAAAACATGAAGAAAATGTTTTTTTAAAATGAAACAAAGCAACAAACAGGTCAGAAATACTAAGAAGAACAGTGTGAATTGAACAAGATATCATGCGCGTGTTCACTCTATGGGAAGGAATTCGTCAAAACATACCTGTCGTCTCTCTCCAAAAAGCAACGGCAATGGATTAAGTAAATGTCGAATGGGCGTATATCTTCCATAGTAACGATGCATTCGATTCGAATTAAGCAAAAACTTCATGATATCTACCTTTCCTTTATTTAAGAACGAAGATAAATTTCTTAAAGCTGCTGCATTCTCCTCCCTCCTTCTGGCGGCAAAACAGCTAGCATGTTAGTAATGCCTCGTTCTCATCACAAAGCCCGCCGTTTCTCATTTAAACCACCTGAAATTAGCTGACACCAGCATTTTGCAATATGAATATGTAACATGATTTTTTTTCTGGGTCTTTTCTTTCAAACTTTTAAAATTGAATTGATTATATTAAGTTTTATTTAAGAACTAACAAACAGTCCCTATAAAGACATTTTCCTTTGATTTAGGATGAAGTTGAAGAATGGAAGCGTCCTGAAGATTTTAACAAAGCATCTTTAGAGGCAAGACATTTAATTGCAATGGCAGACGAGAACCAGGTACGGAATTTTTTTAGACGGGCTTGAATCTAGATTTCGTAGGCAAAAAGCGCAAAAATAAAAATCAAACGAGAGATTCATGTTTCTTTAATGGTTTAGCATCTCAGAAAAGTGGAGTGCATTTTTATAAGCTATACTCATACCAATCTGCATTTTCAAATGAGCACTTTTATGCCTAATGATCACAGTATTTACTCAACTCATAAGAAAGCACATCAAAAGGAAGTCATCGTTTTGGATGACTCCTTTAATATGCTCAGTTAATATTCCTTGATTCTCTTAAGTTAGTTAACCGTCATCTTTACAAGCGTAAAATTTGAAAATAGCAAGGAAATAACTTTAGCTGCAGTACATTTCATCCATTACCTTGGGAGTAAAATGTTGGATAAAGGTCTAAAATGGTAAGTAGAAATTTATATCCAAGTAAAGATCGAAAATTGCGGGGAGGAAAATTGGCGCCTTTGATTGGTTTTGTGGCTTGACCAATCAGCAACCGCAAAGCTCTTACTCAGTTAACGAAACCGGATATAATTTCCCGTGTCGTTACCAGACGTTTGTTAAATGGAGTTTCAGACGAAAAACTTTTTTCTTTATGCATGATATACTTCAGAATTACAAGCTTTTTTATTCTATTTTCAAACATGATCTTTTAGGAATAGAAGTGTAACGTTTTGAGACGTCTTCGAAATCAGTTAGAAAACAAGATCAAAATACTTAGGCTTTTATTTTCACTCAACTTCATCGGAAAAACTAATTTTTTTTACATATCTTAACAATGACAGTTGACAAAGTCACGTGATACAATCATTAGTTACTACAGTCAGATGACATAACCTCACAAGAAGGACGATATACTATCAGAGTAGACAGGAGGATTTGAACGAAAATCCTAGGGCAGATATAATCATGAAGCCTTTGGTTCAATCAAATTAACTCAAATGTTATTTCTTCAACAGGATGGAAAACTCGATACAGACGAAATTATCATGCACCACATGATTTTCGTTAGCAGCAGTACGACGCAGCATGGATTGCTTTTACATGAAGAATTTTGATGCTTCTACGCATCAATCTATAAAGACTTTGAAGTATTTAAAACATTATAATAACGTGAACAAGAATCATCATCTTTACTTAAATTCTATTCTACGGTAGACAAGAAACCGTTTTTTTCAAAACCTTTGTATATATACAGTATAATTTCGGCAATCTGGACTCCTAATAACTCAACGTCCTGGTAACTAGAAACTTCTTTGTGAATTCTTCTTTAACCTTCACCAATACGTCAAAATTCCTGATAGCTCGAACACCTGTTACTCTGGCTACAATCATCATTCTCTTTGAGGTTCGAGTTATCAGGATCGAGTTCGATTGCTTTTTGATTTTATTGTACTACTTTATCTTAAAGCAATTGAAATACGTCATGATTGAAATAAAGATAAACCAATCTTGTCTATAATAACTCATTTTCATTTCTGCATACTTTATGTTTCATCGTTGATAAGAAAGAGTTCTATTAAGAAAAGATGTCTAGAGGGCTTCTACCGTCTCAAGTGTACAGAAAGCCAGAAAGCTAAAGTCTTAATTCCTTGAAATGATAGCTTAATTCCATTTGGAGCCACTGAGGGGTCTTAGTTTGCGATGGACAAAGTTGGAATGGTTTCTATGCATATCACCGTCATAGAAAAATGACAACATCCAAGTAGAAACTAACAGAAGGTGTAGGAGGTCCAGACGAAGAAATTCCAAACAACTTTGGCTAAGTACTATGTAAAGCAATACATTAATTTCCAATGCCTTTTCGTCAATTAATCAATCAATTTGTAGAACAATTTTATGCTAATAATAAAGCATACAATATTCTACGAGAGCAAGTTGAAGCATAGCTCAACGAGACTTTTTAGGCCTTTTTTGTATTTTTCTCTTTACAAATGGTGACTTTTCCACTTAGTAGAAGCTTTGCATGAAAACATTCTCAACGGCTTTCGTGGCCTCCTTGTGAATCCTTGCAAAACAGTTGAATGTGGAAAGACGCTAAAATATTCAAATTTAAATGTTTTTTATCTGCTTAATATGTGCATTGATGTTCAACAGAATGCTCATAATTAAAACGATGAAACCTCTTTTCAACTTATATTTAACAAATGTACTACAGTAGAATAGTGTACTACATTAGAAGAGTGTATATGAAGCATGTTTGTTTTTCACTGGGTTATTTGGAACTAAAAACAAACATATAGAGATGAGTCAATGAAATTGAGAAAGGAAACGCAGGAAGAGACGAGTTTTGAGGAGATTTACATCTTACATGTGCAAAGCATGTTGCAACACTTAATAATTACATACCCATTTCAGGTCTACTTCACATTGACAGAAGGAAAATATACAAAGCGAATATTCAAATTCTAAGTGAATATTACACTGTTCAATGTTTATTGGGTGCAGATATCTAATACAAAGAAACATTAGAGAAGGATAAAAAATGCACCATATACTAGAAGAAATACAAGCTTTAAAGGTTGAGGAAAATAGTTATTTGAAGGTTCTTTGACAAGACGCATTTGCAGCAAGGGCGTTGCCAATAAATTCTGGGCATGGGCGTGGTCAAGTATGATTAATTTAACTTTTTTGATTCAGCAGAATTGTACAAAGACTCGCATTGACATTAAAAGGGTCACTTAAAAAAGCAAATGAGGCAGAAATTCTGAGTGGAAGGGCACAATTGTTCTTTTTCTTAAAAGTGGGCGAGTAACATGCCCTCAGTAGACTGGAACAAATCTAGATCTCTGATTGGAACCGTTGGTAAGATGATAAATAGTTCGGGAGAGAGAGAGATTATCATTACAAAAAAGGTTCTTTTTGAAAGCTAACTCCACGAAGGTTTCCTGTCTGTTAGGTAGCCAAGCTCTACATACATTACCAAGTTAAAGAAATTGCCAAAATAAGTTGAATAAAAGCTATTCATCCCACACTACCCCCTATCTAATTTATCCTTGATTAAAACATAGGTCAATGTCTGATTCAAAGAATTACTTGGGAGAATGCTGGCAAATTTTCCAGGAAATTCCCTTGCTTTTCGGCTGCTACAACTGAATGGCGAGATGTCTCAATTTACAGTGCTGATGATGGCATTGTGTTTAAGACACCGCTGGAAGAAGAAAGAAAAGTATGCATAAATTAATGAGTTGAAAAAGGAAGTAAAAAATAATACGGTCGACTTTGCTTTCAATCTGGCAATGTTATGGTTATTAGCAGTGTTTAAATTTGGGTGTAATTGCTTTGAATGTTGGCGTAAACTTTTTAAATGATGACAACTTTCAGAATTGGCTATATTAGTTGTCAACTAATGACATTAAACACCGAGAAATGATGACCAAACTCGTAAAATATGTATGTTGTATAAAAGTAGGCGTTTTGAGGGAACGATGATTTGTGCTAACATCATATACTATCGATTGCACTGCCAAAATAATATAAGGCCTGTAAAAATGTAATACTTGGATGAAACATATTTTTAGATTTTCTGCATCATTAGCTTTGACTTGTCGAGATCACAAGATTTTATCAAATCGAACAAAGCAAGATTCGACTCAAGCATACCTTGAATTTACTGGCGCAAAATTTCGTAAATTTTTCTGTCCTTTAATTGGGCCTAAATGCTCAATTGCTCTTCGGACACCTAGCATGTGACCAGGGGCGTTCTTTCTTCCGGATAATAAACTATAAGGAGCAGCAGCACTTGAACGTGACCTCCTTCTTGATTCTCGCAATTTAATTGGGTTACTCAGAGTGTTTGATCTTCTCCTACGTTCTGGTTTGTGGTGCTTCGATCTACTCCCCATTGCAGTGTACCTTGGATTTTCGTCATACAGCCTTGGTTGAATCGACGCATACTTTGATGATTTGGCTGCAAGAAACGAGATTGAAAGAATTGAGGAACTTGGTTACCAGAATTTTCTTGGTTACATGGTTATAATCTCAATATGACTAGTTATTGAAGGCTAGCTTCGCAAATGTTTAAAGTTTATATTTGTTCGTTTGAAAATGAAAACCCTTCGAAACTGCAAGGGGCCTGGGTAAAAGCCTTTAATTTGATTGGCTATTGTTGATATTATCTGGGTCAGTCAGATTCTCTATCACGAGTGATGAAATACACAACACCTCTCAAACTCACATAGAGTGTGATTCTTGAAGATTCCCAAAAAACAATATAGACTTTAAAGGGATGTAAAATGCACGGACACATCTGATTCACTACCTGGATGGCAGGGGCGAACCCATGTTCAAATATGGGGAGCAAGCCTATTGTTTTGATAAGATGACGTCACAACTTCCCATTTTTTAGAACAAAAGACAATTGTATTCCAAAATATTGGGCGGGGGGCGACCGCCGATTAGCCAATAAAATTCGAATCACACAAGACGAATCGGTTTTTGATTGCCAAAAGGAACATACACAACTGACCCAAAGCAATTACAACATACTTGCTGATTTTGAAGCCGAATATGGAAGTTTATGGGGATCATGTTTGGATGCAGACGGCGTCAATGCGACCTTGCTTGTCTTAAGATTTGAACCATCCCGCATTGACGGCAAGCCGAGTTGGTGTAAATTCATCGCGTCTGGCATTATATTATCATCAACAGGCTTGTTAACGCATAAAACTGCCAGCGGCTTACGGTCAGGGGTCTCTGCTAAAGGTTCGATGCCTGAAACTTCATGTTGTGGGGCTTCGGCAACTTTGTCTTTATCAGATTGCTCTACAGCCTTTTCGGTTTTTGAAGCACTTGATAATGGAAGAATATCAAAAGTCGCATTCAAATTGCTATATGGCACTCCATTTTCAAGATCTTGAGTTTCTGTTGCGGTTTCAGCGACATTTTGCTCTGTAGCAAACCTGAATCCCCCAATATTATCAATCTGAGAGCTCACGACTGATGCAGCCGTAGCTAGCGCCTCACTGCGCTCTAAAACTGTCACGGGAGCGTGGCATCCTCCAATCAGCGGCAGATCTTTGACTTCCTGCGGCAGTTTATGAAGAACTATCGTCCCGCGCCGGTCTTTTTCCAACATGCAGTCATCAGTTGCACACTGCTTATCATCTTCCGTTTCGTGTGATGCAGATGGTTCATCAGTTGGTACGTGCGGCAGCAAATCTGGATCGAATCGCGGTACCTTGACGCGTGATTCAAAGTCGCTGTCCAATGTGACTGTCCTACGCCGCGAAGGTGACGGCGCCACTTGAAAGTCCTTTGACTGCAGCTGCGGTTCATCTGGTTGCATTCTGAGCTCATGGCAGAGCGACTGCTGTTTCTTCGCGTTTTCATAAGCTTCGTGCGAAGTCTTTAAGAAAACTGCCTCTTGCGTATTAACAGCTGCAACTTTAGATGCTTCAATCGGTTCACGAGAAACAGTTTGCGAGTTATTGACTTTTTCAGATTGCAAACCTGCTACAGTTGACCGACTGTTGAGCAATGAATTCTGCGCAGTTAGCAAACTGTAATCACCTTCTTCTTCTTCTATAGCATCTGCCAATAACTTAGCCATTCGCAGCGGCGTGTTGGATTGCAAGACATTTCTTGTCCGCGCGGGAGTTCTCACAGGTGTGCAAGATGTAAAGTTCAAAATGGATGTTACGTCGAGGCTTTCCCGCGTCGATTCATCCGCCCACATAATTCGCCTGCTTCCCTCAAGTTCCTGAAGAACCGAAGAGTAGTCTTGATCGATCTCCATTGGACAATTCCCTGATGCTCTTAAATTTGCATGTTGCTTTTTGATAAGAGAAAGCAGCATAGAAACAAGTCTGAAAAGAAAGACAAAACAACCAATGAACATAGTTTGAAACATAATTGGGTCATCTTAGATTCTTATCTATCTTTTATGATGAAGACACCTCACAATAAAGCTAACATTAAAATAAATTTTATAGAATTAATTTTTTTCAACGACCTTTTCTCGTTTTCTTCAAAAATGGCATATAAGAAGCACTTTGCACCTACAACAACAACAACTCAAACTATAACAACAAAAGTATATATGCATTTACTTAAAGGACATGTTCATCGCCAAGAAGGTTAGGGTTTTTTTATTTTTCTTATTGGAGAAAACCAGGTTGTTTAAAGTGAAATTTATGAGATCAAAGATCCTCACGAAAGCTCGTTTTTAGCACAGGGAACTCTGTTAAAACGTATTACGAATATTTTCAAGACACAATTTCATCGGTCATCGATCGATCTGACACATACGTCATCTGATCGATAATGCAAAACTTGTTGTGGAACGATACAGATGCTTTGTATCAATGCTCTCTATTTATTAATGTAAGGCGATACCTACCTCTCGGTTGAGTGAGCATCTCTTTCCTGCATCAATGCATATCTTCGTAGATGCCTGGCCTGGGCCTTTGCAGATAGTTTTTCTACATCAGAAATTCTAGCCTCATGAAAGACGACAAATTGTTGTTTCAAAGGGTCATCAGCCAATGACGACAGCCATTCATCTGCACGTGTCTTTATCGTTGTTATTTTTTCATCATTGTCTGCTAACTGTTTCTCGAATGCCTGTGATTTTCGTTCTAACTGGTCTTGCTTCACATTTGTAGCTTGTAAGAACAACCCGAATTTTTCTGAAAGCTGTGGAGTAGGCCAAAAGATTGTTAATCAAAGCTTTTTAATGGAAACTTTTTGAAATATTATTCTACAGGAGTTAGGACATCAGAGACGCAGTTAGGACACCAGAGTTAAGAGTACACTGCAAAGGGTATTGGGATTGATGGGTTTTTTAGTGAGATAATCTTTGCTCAAATGTTTGGTGGGTGCACAGCAAAATATCTACTCAAATAACAGCGTAAAAAGGGAAAAAAACAGAGGATTTTTGGTAACTTTTCTATATGACACTTGCACAAGAAGGCACTGCAAGCAAACAACAAAACTATTAGAAGATCAGTGAAGAGAGACAAAATCACACACCTTATCCATTGTCGGGTTGTCTTCTTCAAGAATTGCTTGAATTCGTTCCATGTTACGTTCCTGTGTGAAGAAAAACGAGATCGATAATAAACTTGTTTTTCAAAATATAAAATAAAAAAAATGCTAAAACAAGAAACTGCGACAATCACGAAAACTGATCACGTGGGGCGAAGAAGAAAATGTCCCATGAGCCTTTAACATATAGGGATTTACCAATACATCTACAGTAAGTAGGATCTGGGTTGAAATTGAGAAATCACTTGTGTGTACTGCTGGGTGTTCCCATATAGAACTGCTTCAAATAATGACAAGTCCAAAAAACTCTTACAAACAGCACTTTTTATAGAGATACAAAAAATGTGTTCTCAATACCAACAACACAAAATCCCCATTTTTCATGCGCATTAAAGAAAGGCTTGTTGAAAAATTTAACAAATTGAGCTGCTATATCTACAATTGATCCGGGAAGGTTTATGGTTTCTCGCTGGTGCTCATAAACTTTTAGTAAGTGCATAAGGATTTATTGAAAGACGGGAAGAAGGCAAAGAGTTGCAAAGAAAATCTGCTTTATGTACACAAGATGATTATGCTGAAGCCCGAATGCTTACCCGCTTAAAAAGCTTGATTTTCAATTCTTTCTCGGCAGCCTCACAGTCAATAATCTGTTTACGAATGAGGCATCGATCTTTGTATACTGCACAGAGCTCATCCTGGATTCTATTGGAAAATTTGACATTTTACTTCAATCTATATTAAAATCATGCAAAACTTTTAAAGTCAAAATTTAAGTTCTGATATTTCATTTACAAATACTTTTGACAATAAAGAATATCATACTAAAGGCAATCGACAGAAGCTAAGGGGGCGTAAGCCATTTTTCAATCAAAAATTACTTGTCTCCATCTTTTTTTAGAAATGATCACATGCAATATCTTTAGTGATCACATTAAAATTTCAAGTCCTAATTGTCAGCTGTACTTGTCTCAATCTTTTTTTAGAAATGATCACATGCGATATCTATGGTGATCACATGAAAATTTCAAATCCTAATTGTCAGCTGTACTTGTCTCGACCTTTATGCAAATGATCACATGCAATATCTATGGTGATCACATGAAAATTTCAAGTCCTAATTGTCAGCTGTACTTGTCTCGACCTTTTTGCAAATGATCACATGCAATTTCCTGTGACCAAAATACTGCACTGCCATTGGAAAGCATACTTGATCTAAATTTAGATTTTTCGTTTGTTGCAAACGCACGCTTTTTCAATCAAAAAACTTTTAAAAGTTTAAAAAACACTTAATAGGTGAGTTTTCAATTCTCTAATCGAAATATGAAACAAAAGAAACAAAAAAGTAAAACGTTACAAGTATTTAAAGCGCAATGTTAAGAATATTCAATTATTGAAATAAGACTTCAAAATTAACTAAATTTTTCATTAAACATACATCTTCAGCTGATCGTGTTGGCAAAATCTCAACTTTTGCTGCTTCATCGGAGTGGCTTCTCCACTTTCAAATCTTCGAAGTTTACTTTTCAATTCATCAACCTGATTGAAGAAAAGATAGCTGTCGAAACATTGATGTAATAGTTATGAATTGCCGTCGAAACATGTAATAGTTTTGAACTATCGTAATACATCACTTCTGTGCAGAAATAGTGAGTTTATTATTGTTTTTGCGATATTCGTGCTTTCAAAAAAGTCATCTATTTATACTGGCTATTGGTGAAATGTCAAGAGCTCTGGATTGAAAAATAGGGTATTTGGGGTTTAAAATCAAAAGTAAAAATGCAATAATTTCTTACACTTTCCCTTCGAATCATTACAAACCAGTTTTAACAATATCTCAGAAGAAGATGAAAACGTTTTGAGCAAAAGTGAAACATTAATATCGCAATCAGGAATCAGACAATATCTTGGGATAACCAGGCTTATGATATGATGGATCACTTTATTTCTTTGTCTTAAGATGTTTCAATGTCATAAATTAAACTTACCAAAACAAGAAAATATATTCCTTTGCAACAGCAAGCAAACTATTTTGTGTTCCTTTTGCTCAAAGCCCAAGAAAATGGTGATCATATAGTTAATGCTTTTGATGAATGCCAATTAAACAAAAGAAACTTAAGTTCCTCATTCAACCCCTGCCTTTTCTAATTGTCTAATTTTCTAATTTCTAATTAATAATATGGAAGCTTTCACACCTTCGAATTATTTTCCAGACAAATGATAAGCTTCAACATGGACTCTACAATTGCAATACTCATTTATTGACCCTACATCCCTTGCAATGTTGCAGCAAAAATAAGACGAAACTCCTAAAATCGAATGGTCATACCTGTTGTTTGAGCTCCTCTACAATCTTGGCATATTTACTGACGTGGAAATCCACACTGATAACATTGCTTTTGAGATCTGATTTGATGCTCTTTGCTCTGTCTGCATACTTCAAAGTGTTGTAGGTGTCTTCATAGCAAGTGCTGGATGGACTAAATGCATCAAAAGATTCATGAGATTAACTAGAAATTGAAAAGATCTGTCTAACCTTTAATTAAACTTGATGCAAACTGTATCTGCATTCTTTGAAGGCTTACTGACTTGCAAAAGAAGATAGCAAAAAATAAACTACACAAGATGCTTTTGGAAAACAATGATGGGAGGTTAAAAGCTTTGACTTTTACTGTTGAAGATTGCATAAAAAACCAAAAACATAGCATACTATAGCACCTTTTGCTCGACACTCCTCAGAGTTAAAACATCAGATAATGACAAAAACGTAAGCTAGAATTTTATATCCAGGTGTGGATCAAAAGGAATGTGAGAGGAAGAAACAAATGTTTGCTCCAAAAGTAAATTGGGCCTTCAGCTTGACAAAATCAAGGAAATTTTTCTGGAGGAATGGCTACCCAGAATGAATTTCTCAATTGTGAATACCCCCAGAGCCTGTTGTTAGTATGAACTGATGAACAATGGGACTTCAAACATTTTAATCAAATTCATGTTTGTTGAGAAAAGTATCCATAACAACATCAACAACTGAATAAAGATGATTGATGTGATTAACATAAAGTGAAGATTTCCAAATATTAAAAAGTCTTACCTAACAGCAGCTATCATTATTGTTTTACAGTTGCCACCAAGGGAATCTTTTAGCAGACGAGTCAACTTACTGTCCCTGTAAGGAATGTGCACCTCTTTCTTTCCCTGTACAAAAACAGGTTATAATAAGATAAACAGTTTTGCTAGAAGCTGAAGATTTCAAGAGAGAACAAACTAACTTAAGCATCTAACAACACAGAAAGATCTTTATATTAAAAATTTATACACTTTTTAGACTTTTTTCAATATAAACACAAATAAATGTTTGCTTAAACTGATTTGCCTGGTGAAAAACTTTTTTTGATAAATGCCTAGCTATAATAAAGCTAATAAAGTTTATGAAAAGCAATATATTACTCAACTTTATGCAATGCAGGATTGGCTCAGAATTTTGTTACTAGAGCATTTGTTACTAGGATATAAGATAAAAGGCCTTTTCAATCCCAGTGACTAAAATAAAGTAAAGAACTCAAGAAACCAACAAGCACTGGTTCTATCTGAAATTTGGGATAAACTGGAAATTGAAATACATGGAAAAGAGGGGGACATGTCCAATTAAAAAATTCAATAAATGGGAAAGGATAGAAAGTGAGGGCAAAGAAATTTCAAATTTTAGTCAAAGATTTTGGCTGGTGAAGCAATCCTACAAAAAAAATAAAAGGGGTTCTTGTTTATTTGCAATATCAGAGTACAAAATTCAACTAAGCCAGCTAAAATGGGAAAGTATGATACTAACCCTTGTTGGTTTATTGTCTGCCAGTGCATTTATACAGTTGCCTAGAGCCAGCAATGACCTGTTGATATTGGCACCTTCTCTGAATCTTGCACCTCTGTTCTTTGTGACAGTAGCTCTTTCAGAGCCAGCAAGGTCAATCAGTGACATCTTAGCAACCTTCACATCAGTACTGAGGCCTGAACCTTTAGGTTGTTGTCTCACAAATACCTATGAAAAGTATGAATTGTTCACATTCAGGCAAGGGACACAGAAATGTAACAGTAAAATGTTTCAAAACATTACTCAATTTATACTTTTTTGAAGCTGAAACAATAATATTTACTCTCAGTGTTGCACAAGATTGAGAGAAAAACAATTACAATAAAGCTTGAATAAAATTTGAATCATGTTGTTTAATTTGATGGGGAGAAAACATATTTTGTACACTTATGACCTTGAAGATGACCAACTTTTAGCTTGATCTGATTAAACAGTCTAGAAACATTGATATCAAGAAGCAGAGCAACCACATATATAGGTGTACAAGATAAAAAACTGGGGTTGACAAGCTCTCATTGTCATTATATTCTTGCTTTTGTTGAATGTACTTTTTAAGACTGAGTATAAAAAAGATTTTGACAGCTTTCCAATGCTAAGGAGGAGTGCGTCCATTGAAAAATTTTGTTGTGTCATTTATCTTTTCTATGTGTCTGATTGAAATGATGATGATGTACCTGAAAGACGGCATGAGACCTGGATGACTGCTTATTAGCATCTGTTGGATGTTGTGTGCGGTTGTGGTTACCAAATTCAAGCATTCCAAGTAATTCTTCTGCATTTTGAGGCTAGTTGTAAAATAGAAAGACATAATGTAATACAGATCCTTTGGTAGTTCAGACATTAGTTGACAACTCCAACAATAGTGTTTTGCTGAATGCACTAGAAAAATAGGGGCTTATATTTGTCATGATCTAGTAATGTTCAGGTGCTAGTGTGCCAAGGCATTTAATGACTCTAAATCCTACCTTATGCAAGGTTAAGCCCATGACACAAACACCTTTCTGAGGGTCTTCCCTCACAGCTAACGTTGAAGAAGATGGCACTAGTAAGTCTCTTGCATTTTCATTGTAGATCTAAGAGAAAAAGCATGGATTAGTCAAAACAAAATAGAAGTCTTAGCTTATGGCCCATATTGATAATTCAAAATCTACTGAACTAATCACCGTTTACATACCCATAGACTCTTTTCTTTTTACAAGAATATTGTTTATAAGAATATTCAAGCTCAGAATCATCCAATTCCTAAAGATATTTTAAGAATACTGCTCAGCCTCAGCATGCATATTTGAGCCTTGTTTTTAAGCAGTTTTGTGAGTTTTTACAAAGAATTGCAAAATGGACACATCTTTTTTCAAAAAGTGTTGTTTTCTATTCGAGGACAAGACTTGTATATAAGACAGATGATGTTGATCTTGTAATTATGAAAGGTCCAAGTAGATCAACATTGGTCAAATAACATAAATTTCAATTTGGTATTATTAGCCAACAACCATGACTGTAATGGGCTTCAGTCTTACGTCTTATTCACTTTCATCAAATCATGGAAATATAATCATATTTATTTCAACAAGTTTCCTTATCCATATTCACCTCCAAGTATGAAACTGAGACATCACAAGAAAACTCTTCAGTTTTTTCATTAATTTTTTTGTACAGTTCCATCATTGTCAGAAAAATAACTCCTGGCCGCTGCGGACTGCCTAGCATTGTGTGTGTTTTTCCAGCAGATGTTGCACCATAAGCAAACACGGAACAGTTGTAGCCTTCAAGAAGATAATCAACTACAGAATATGTAGTATGCTCGAAGATTTCTGCATTTGTCGCATGCTCATCAAAAACACGATCAAAAGCAAAACGGAGGTCTTTTGTTCGACGATCGAGAATTGTCTTCCTTGAGCGAATCTTTGATGGAGCTCGTCCAAACCGTACTGCCTCAGAGTCAGTTTTGGGATCAAAAACAAGCATATGATCATCAATTACTTTAACCACTGATTTACAACCCTTTTCTCTTTCCATCGAATTCGTAGGGCGAACACGAACGACAACCCGGACATTACTAGATTGGGTCTTCTGGACCTCACCTTTCGCCATGGCAAGTGAGTGTACGTGAGCCTAATCCAGGACAAAATTTCTCAACGACAACGAATTACTGCTTTAACTTAACAAAAATTTCCGCACAAAAATGTTTTTATCCACAATCTGGTTACATTTCCATTTTTATCAGCTAAAAACTGCGCCAATCGTCCAATAATATATTTGTATATTTGTTCGACACCCACAACATGCGACGGTCCATTCGAAAACTGGCGGTTGATGTTTGTTATTCAAATATCTGGACCCAGACTCTTTAGCGTGACAATGGCACGCGATCAATCCGCGTTAAGCCCGCGCAGCACATTAGAATTCTTAAAATTTGCCACGAATCTCTCCAATTTGTTTGTAATTCAAGTTTCAGCCTATTTGCAATTTGAGTGAAGTAATATACCTCTAAATTAATGTGCCGGAAAAAATTCTAAGGGAACAACAGAAAAAACATGCCCGAGTCCTAATTATACAGAGCCTCCTGTACGTGCAGATATGAATCGTTGCAATGAATAACTTTCGTTAATTTCATACAAGCATGAATGAAATTGGTCAAAGTCTAAGGAATATTCTGCAGTTTTTTAACAAAAAAATCAACGAGCTTGATAAAGATTTGCAAACGAAAAATTGTGAAATTTATTTACTTCATGTATAGTGCTTTTTTATATTTCACGATTTTTAATTTATTTCTAGTTTTATTAAACAACTTACAATTAGCGAAGCAACATTGTTTATTTGTTATTGGTTTTAAAAGTTGCCTATTGACATCTTACATGATTATAATATTCATGCGTGATTAATTTCTTCTCTAGAAAAAGAATACAACATTTTAGGTTCACTTTAAAACAAGGTAAAAAATTGAAAGCGTAAAAATAACAATTGTCGGCGATAGATAGCATAGATCAACCCTTTGTCAGCAAAATAAAGCGTAGCAAACAAGCCCAGTGGCGGATTTAAGGGGGGGCAACTAGGGGCAGTTGCCCCCCCTTCGATGATTTGAAGGAAGTATGGCGCCCCTTTTTTGGAAATTGTGCGCCCCTTTTGAAGAATGAGAATCAGGTGAAAAAGTTTCTGAGACCGATAGGATCTGAAATTGTTGTATACAGCGTTCTCTCGTCATCAATTTTAAAAAAATTTCAGCGCCCCCACTACAAACTGCCCCTCCTTCAAGTTTGTTCTGGATCCGCCCCTGAACAAGGCAAGGACAAAAAGTCACTGCCGATCATAAAAAGGTGTCATGGCAGTGGCGTTGGAATGAGATTCATATTAAGGGGTGGGGCTGCCCACTGTATTGCTTCCCATAGTACACTGCTAAAAAGGAAGTATAGTACAGCTTGACAATGATTGGGGGTACTCCACCCTCCGCTTCCGATGGTCCTACATGGCACAGCAAAAGTGAACAAAATTTTAAACATATTCTATGTGTAATTTATCATTGATTTGTTACACTGATCTAAAAAAGTCATTGGTTTTTAGTTTTTAGATGATTGATTTGTTACTGGACTACCACAAAACATGATATGGTGTCAAGTGAGGGATTCCAGCCCACCCCCATATTATTGTCGTAGTTGGGATACACGAGGATTTGGACAAGGACACGGCATAAAGGAGTTATTCAATTTGGTATTCTACTGAACTGCTAGACTGGTCAATAAGCAGGCAATCATGGAAGTTTCAGCGAGAGGCTTGGTGGTGACAGCCTGTGTAGGAGGCACATCCTCGTTTGTTTGTTTGTATGTGCACACAAGCTGGGTTCAAAAGTGCTCACCTCCAAAGCTTGTAACCCTGTTTTTTGAGCAGGATAATATGATATTTTAAGCTTTATTGCGGTAAAAAAAAACACAAATGTTTTGCTGCCAATTTCGGGAGTATTCTGCGATAGTATTCTGTGTGGCAAATTTTACGAATACTCTTCAAATAAAGTATTAAATCGGCCCCATCTGACAAGACGTGGTGTGTTGCTTTTCAAAACAAGGCAATGTCAATGTAAAAGCCTTTTTTTCTTCAAAAGTATTTACAAAAGAATAATTTGATATACTGACGATTCAAAAAATTAACAATAAAAAACTGTTTAGTTATTAATTAACTGCTTATATAATTGCTATATTCTTCCTTTCCAACCTACGAAAAATGTTTGTAATCTATGTTAATATTGGTATCGCAGCAGGGTCACAGAATAGGAAATAGGCAGAAGGGTAACTCTCGTCGGTTCCTTTGTTGTTTTTGAAGCCTGAGTCAACAATAGAAATCCTTAATTCCCCTTTAACCTCGACTTCATTAGACGAACCTAGCCATGACAAATTATCATTCATTAACCAGATATAAACGAATTATGATATATTATTGAATTTGTTCACTATCATGGGGCATTTCGTCTCAAATAAAGTTGTCTATTTTCATTCTTTTTTAAAATTTCCCCGACAGATACATGCTAAACCTAGTATAAGTTAACGCATGCGTTAGTTTTTTCAGGCTTCAACTGATAGGCAGGAGTCCCCCTTGCGCCTAATTTCTATTCTGTGCCAGGGCTAAGCTGCTCAGACGAGGCCTTCATATTGCTAGTCATTATCTTACATCGGAATGCTTTTTGCTTGTTAAAGACCTAGCACGTGCCAATAAAACGTTCGAAAGGGACCTCCTTCGTCTCTTTTTATCTTCAGGTACCCAAGCTTCATAGATCATGCCTTGATTTGGAATAACTTGAATGCCAGTAAATGCTAAAAGAAAATCATATTTCACAATATATAACAATGTATACTATTGTTGATAAAACAAATTCATTTGCAGTCCAACATAAAGCATGGCTGTTTAACAAATAAAGTGCATAATAGGATATCTTGAAAACTGATAGCAGTTGAATTGAATGGTTATCCGGAGTGCATCAGTGACCATCCATAGGTCTTTCAATAAATCTATGTCTGAATGTTCCATTAAACATGGTGGGTCTTTTTACGATCAATCAAAGCATGTAACATACAACTAAATATAACTAAGTTGCAACAGTTCCAGGAAAGGTCACAGAGTTAGAGAGTCCCTACAACTGGTGCTTTCGGTTGATCTGGCAAGTCATCATCAATCTTTATGAAACGTTATTGCTATTACTTGCTTTCTTAAATTCTATAAGCTGATCTCATTGTTGATAATATACATAAAAGTATATTTTAATGTGAATGCCAATGAGTAAGATTTTCGTGGTAAAATTTGAAATGAACAAATTTGCATTCCATTCTTATTGGAATTTTCTTTTGTAAAAATGGGTGAGAGGAAAAAAATCACTAAAACATAAATTTAGCAAAGAGCAAAGTTGGTCAGTGGTTAGAGTTACTGACATGACATTTGATTAAAATAAAGACAGTAACAGAGCCTCTGACAACGATTAAAACTTACACATAGAATCACCGGTTTGTACATCAAGAATGGGGTTTCTTCTCCTTGCTTTCTCGTTCATAGAAGCTACAAAACAGCAGTGTTCAAATTTAAAAGCTGAAAATTGCAATTATAGATTGTTAAGATAAAATTTTCAAATTTTTAGTTCGAAATTGAATTAATCACAATGCTCGAGTCAAAATTTAAAGAGCAAACAGGCAAACTATGAAACATTGCGGTTTAAGAAGTATTCAAAACTTCATATGGATCTTTCTCTATAGTTACACAAAAATGAAACAGTTTTTCATTTGTTGATAATCAAAGGTTTACACAAATATATTAAAGAAGTTGCTTCCAGCTAAAATATTTCGAAATCTCTTGCTTTCAACTGCTGAAGATAAAGCTGTTGATGTTCTCAGCCGTTTACACAACGATGCTTCACACATTCCCTTTAGAATAACCCTGATTTTTCATTGCATTATAGCGATAAATGCAATAAATAACAATGACTTCTTGAACACCAGCGTGCTGTTTCTTCGACAGTCTAAACGTTTGTGGCCAAATGTTGCCCAGCATTTGCTATTTAATGTAGAAATCGATTTTGAAGAGAGATTATCTAGATATATTGACAATAGAATGGCAACGTGATGACATCTTAATAATACTTTGTTAGAGTTTTTGCACTTTGAGCACACCGGAAATCTGAAAGAACACCAAGATCTGATTCAGATTGCCCTAGTTTAGGCTTTTCCCCATCGAGCTACTATAAGTTAGCATTGGTTCTGAAGTTTATGAACAACGTAAAAACAGCATTTTTCGGTAGCAAACTTCAAATCTTTAATTGGCCATATCTCAAGAAATCATTTCCCGATTAACTGATTTGCAAATCTAGAGATATCTTCACGTGCTCTTCCTGCTTATGTGGTCAAAAATAAAAAGTTATGAAACTGATTTTTATGACGTCATCACTTTGCTACTCATTTAAAAATGTACCTACCTTGATATTTATCACCAAACCCTAGCACTTTCTTCAACTTTTCCTTCGATTTTAAAGATTGGCTGGCTGCTTTTGTTGTCTCCATTATCATCGATGTCGTTGCAGTTGTGGGGGTCGATGGTGTGGTTGGCGTGGATGGCGTTGTTGGTGTCGTTGGCGTGGTTGGTGTCGTTGGCGTGGTTGGTGTCGTTGGCGTTGTTGGCGTAGTTGGCGTGGTTGGTGTCGTTGGCGTAGTTGGTGTCGTTGGCGTGGTTGGTGTCGTTGGCGTTCTTGGTGTCGCCAGAGTTGTGTCAGTTGTCTGTGACATAGGACCTGGTTGAATTCCTGGTAACTGGCTCACCGTAACTGAGCTTATGATCTGATGAGTGCCTGTATTATAGATGATGTTACTCTGTACGCTCCCATTCGGTAATGCCGGGCTTCCATTGGCCTTATTATTTTCTGACAATGAAGAAACGTCTGCCTTTGTCTTTTTGTTCTTCTTTTTTGTCGGGTTTGGAGGTTGTGGGCTACCATTGTAGTTGTCGAGAGTTTTGAATGCAAGTGCAGCCAGCTCTGGCGGTTCCTTGATATTTGGTGAAAGCGGATCTCCAACAGGGGTGCCAAATCCCCAGCCAGGCCAAAGAGGATGGTCTACACGATAAAGAACGATTCAGAATCAAATGACAATGCAGCAACCTTTTCACTGTACTTTTAACGGCGAGTGCAAGAGAGATCTTCTTCAAGACTATAATTTCGAACAGTTGGAGATTTAGGCCATGTATTTCAGAATCAAACCAGATAGGAAGACAACATACCTGCAACAACTGCTTTTGGGTTCATATTTGCAACATCTTGGCTTTTTAGCGCCGCAACAATGTGCCGTGCTTTTCTCTTTAAGACTATGAAATAAAATGAAATAAAATATAGCACTAAAGATCTAGCTCAACTTTATGTTAAGACATTAAAATTATTTCCATAGATTACTAGCCCATATCAAAGTTTCCTTTCTAAGTTGAAAAGCAAAGGCATAACCCTCAAATATTGCTGCCGCGCAGTTGATGACCATTGTGGAGGCCAGTGAAACAAAGTAAACATAACTGCTACACCCAAACCCTGCCTTGATTTCATTATCTTATGTAAACGGTTTTCAGAGCTCAGAGTATTAACCGGTGAAAGTTGATACTTATCTTGTCTCTGAGAAAACGTCGTGCAAGGAAGAAGAATCACAAACATAATGGTTATGATGAAGCCCCATATGCCAGGGCGGAATGTTATTTTGCTTATATTTTAACAATTAATTTGATTAAATCATTTTCGGGTTGGATTTATATACATCACATTGGATTGTTTCTCGTCATTTTGCGATGTTCCTATCTATAATGAACGTACATCATGGCAATTTCATATCAGATTCACATCTATCTGTGACTTTAGGAAGCTTTCCCAACTGCATTCCAGACAAAAGATCATACCCACAGCCCTTTTATTAAAAAATAACATTTGTCTATTAACAGATCTATTTCAAATATATTCAAAGAAAATCTCGTAGCTTGAGCAGTCAGAAATGCAACATCGTATAAGTGTGTACCGTTAACTCTAATAGAAGTTCAAAAATTCAAACTATGAAACAAATGGTTAGTTATAAAGTTAACGTGTGGTTAGTACAACATACCCTGTCCAAATTTGTTTTCGAATGGCCTGTCTGGTAGAATTAGAAGGTTAGTTTGGTTAGAGGCAATGAAGTGACGTAATGTTTCTTTGGAAGGTCGATAATATACTCGCTTTGAAAGCGCAATAATATTTCAAAAGCAATTCCTTATGTGCAAGTAATCTTTTGGTGGTACAGAATTTCAAAAGTTGATTTGAAAAATGTAGGAGTTTAATTAATCATATTCTAAAGCTTTTCGTCCTACACATTTCAGAATGTAAAAAATCAGAATTTTGCCTATCTAAAAATATTCTTAAGCTTTTCATCCTACACTCTTTAAAGTATAAAACTCCAGAATTTGGCCTATTCCGATCCATGAATGTGTATATTTCCTTGGTTAGAGTTTTTGATCAGTGTTCTCACGTTTTACACTCTGAAGAGTGTCAGACAAAAAGCTATGCTTAAAAATGTTTGCGGCAAGTCATTCTTATCGACATTATATAGAGCCTCAAGCGGTAGCCAGCAAAGCCCTTCGGTCCCTGGTTATTAAGCAACATAGAGATGTCGCTATGTTAAATACGGAGAACTTGAACTGCTTGTGCAGCATGCTACGATAAATCAAAAGGGAATGACAAATTAAGGTTAATGTTATGCTCGTTTAACATGCTAGCGATGCTATTTACAAATACTTAAATAGCTTGGTATTCAAATAAAGACGGAGTTTACCAAGGCATTTGACAGAGTTTAGCTTATCAATCTATGGTTTTTAGTTATAACAGAACTGAAAAGTTGTCTTACCAGCAGAGCCCTGCGTTGTAGTGTGTAGCAGACAGGCGAACATAAGTAAATGAAATATAGCCATCATGCATTGTGCATCCATTTGAGCGGTATGCCTGCAAAGTAAGCAATAGATGTGCTAGCAAGACTGGAGATGGGACGGAGCTTTTGCGTTTTCTGGCTTTGTCTTATCTTGAAAATACAAGAGCTTCTTTATATCGTCGTTTGTGGCTCTAAAAGGTCTATTTAAGAGTCTAGGAATGTTTTAAGGCATCTTGTCCCGATCTATCTCCCCCCCCCCACCTTCCTTGGCCTTTCCCTATCTTTGCCAACTAAAATTATACAAGGCTATTGTCCCATTTTCAAATCCTCATCACGGGATTAATCCTCAATTTCAAAAGTACAGCCAAGAGTATTGTATAGCAAGAATGGCTGGCTGACTGGACATAGTTTACTGGTTTTAGAAATCTCTGCCAAACTAAAAAAATGTTATTCCACTGCTCTACTTACGTCACGTCTTTAAACGGCTTTGATTCTAGACTACATAACATTGCAGAAAAAGTTTACTGCAACAAGAACAAAACAAAGTGTGGTAACATCATATAACATATCCATTAGTCAAGAAAATACTCTTTGCCAAAACTGTAATTGTTAATCTACAACTAACCCAATTTTCTTGTTAGTTTTCAGAAAGCGCCTTTCAAACTCTTAAAGCAAGAAATAAAAACTTGTGTGCAAAACCAGAATCGCTAATCAAGGACCTTTGCCTTATCTAGAAATTACTTTGAAAAGAAATAGTCTTTGTATCCCAAAACTACTTTGGAAGGCAAAGAACATTTGTTTATTAAATGGATCTTCTTTGAGCTACATTCCTTTGGAGGAGAGCAGTTAGTGTCAAAATCGATGACGTGGAGCAGCATTTGAAATTGCGTTTAAAACTTGTCCATAGTTTTTATTTACGCCTGTTAGACTATATGAATAAACCAAATTATGAAGAGACAATGTGATATGAAAGACTTGAAGCCGATTTTACATACCTGCGTTTAGCGGTTAGGGTCAACGGTCATTGAGCTGGTTACTTCTTCTAAGCTTCTTTAGTTGTTATTGGCTCTAAGATAATTCCGTTGGTTTGCAGCAAATTGAAACTTGAGTTTAGTCAGTCGATCATAACTTTGCATAAACGGAGGAAGAATAAAAGCAAAACGCGATGTGAAAAGCTCAGTCCATTGGCGAAGCAGAAAAACAGACAGCTTGCAGATTCTTAATTTCGTAAGTGGGACCTGCCTGCTCAGCTAGACGCAGATATGAGTAGCTACGCACAAAGCTTACGCGGTTCAGCGATTTTATGCCGCATTGCGAAATGGAGCATGCGCAGCCTACACATTGATTATATCACATTTGAAGTCAGCTATAACCATCAAATTCTTCCTTGAAGCATTAAGACTTAATCTTCCTTGAAGCCTTAATAGCATATTAAAACGCTTTTCCACAATATAAAACTGGACATTAAATCATATAGAAATACAGGGACTATCTGTTAAGAGCATGGACTTGAAACTTAGAGTTGAAGTTGTGCGGGGAAGAAAAGTCTACATTCATTGCTTTTGAGCGTGTCACAACCCCCACACCCCCACATTCTCCCTAGTTGTGGTAGGATTAATTGCTGCTTACGTGTATATAATTATCATAACCTAAGTATGCTCAGTGTGCTGCTATGTAAATATAAAAACTTTCTGATTATGATTGTAGAGGGAGATAAAAAGTTGAAGATGAAATAGCTGAGTTTTTTTAGTGTGAAACTGCTTAATTCAACTGCTCTACCACATAGTGACGTAGCCAGGACAGAGCTTGTAAGAGGGAGCTCTGCCCTGGCACTCCTTCGCGATGGGAAGTTAAGTCTACACACAGGCTAATAGAGTCGGCCCTGTCCAGCTTATCCCCTAATTCCATCACCATAGTAACAAGAGGTGTCTTTGTTCTCGACCACCTATCTTGAACGATAAAATATGGAGAACATAAATCCTTGTTTATATCCTAAATTAAGGATCTGGAACGCAAAAATTACTTCACTATTCCATAAAAAGCAACGTTAAAAATATTTCATACAACCGTTTAAGGCTTTCTTGAGTTTGGTAGAATCAAGATAAAATAAGGAATCTTTTGGTAGAATGTATCAACACTAGAAGCTAAATTCGAACTCTTGAAATTTTATTCCTTGCTATTTATTTAAACATTGACAACAACCTATCAATCACGAATTAATTTAGGATGTCAGTATGTTCAGAAAAAAAACTTGAAAATAGTAATACATGTTAAAGTTCTGTGTGTTGTGAATGGTTGTCAAATAAATCAATGTGAAATTATTTATATCTTAACGTCCAACATTATATCAAATAAGTTATATAAGTTACTAAACAGATCATATCTTAATATTTTTATGCCATATTTACTAAAAAATTAATTCCAAAGAACGCTGAACTACTTCTGCTTCTCCGTCTTATAATTTTAAACTGTACTGTACTATAATTTGTACATATTCTATTTTAAGCAAAAAATTGCCCAAACAAGATTGAAAATCTTATTCTTGAAACAAAAAGAGTTATTGAATGTAAAGTAGATCCATTTACAAAACAGAATTACTAAGGACCTACATTGCAGCATAAAGGAAGGTCTGATCAGAAGCTGAACAAACACTATTCCATCTAGATCTTTAAGCATGCATAATACTTTTTGTTCAGACAACAAATAAGGGGGAGGATTTCAATTGTCTAAAACCCTTGTTTCTAATCGCCTTTTGATAGTATGCAAAATGTAAGAGCCGAAAAGAGGACTTCCAATGGATGCAGGCTGGTGCATTCGCAAAGTACTGTGATGATAGATAAAGGTTCACCTTGAAAAACCTTGAACAACCCTAGATGTAACTTCAAACAAACAAGTACTTATCTGTTTATTGTTTAAATTTCTGTCGTTAGAAGCATTGAAAAATTTGGAAACATCTTATTGGACGCAGAAAAAAATTCCTTGGAAAGTTGCAGGTGGAGTGCCCATTATTGATCCCTATTTCCTAAGCAGAAAAGTTACTGAGTACAGTTACCACCTTAAAATTCTACTTATAAGAGAAAAAACATTATTTGCTCAAGTCATTTTTCCTGATTGGTCCCACAAGTGCCCGGAATCCCTTCAATCATTAATAAAGCATTCGTATCCAAATATGGAAATTTTGTGTCCAAATATGGAAATTTTGTGTCCAAATATGGAAATTTTGTGTCCAAATATGGAAATTAGTTTGAACTTTTCAAGCCATCAATTACAAAAGGCTGCATTTACCAAATTCGCCATTGTGTGTGGGATGAAAAAGAGAAGGAGAGTCTGGAGATTATTAGCAAGCAAAGGGCGCGGATCAAGGTAAGAATCAACAAAGTGAAGATTTCTCGCGTCTTATAAGGATTACCCTAGGTACCAGACTCACTATATATAAAATAAAATAGAGATTCTCTATTTTATTTTATATATAGAGAGTCTGGTACCCAGGGTATATAAGGATATGATACCTAAAAAGGCTGGGTAAAGAGGTTGCAGGTCAAGCGGAAGAACAATTGCAAAATAAAGAAAATTGCTAATATTTTCGAAGGCAAAGGGGTCAACCACCCCTGTAGGCCCCTAAGCGCCGGCGTCCTTTGCTTGGTATAAAGAAACAGGGTGTACTATTGCATTTAATTATCCTTAACCTTAATGTCTTTAAGAGATAGACTTTGTCTTATCGTATCCAGTTCAGGCAGCATAAGTGAAGCTTCATCCTTTTTCTTCAAATTGATCTTTGCCAACGTTTTGCGCCTTTTATGTTCTTTTGCTGTTTTGTGGCCTTGTGTGATCTCCCTACAGCAAATATAACAGTTACAGAGGAACATCATATTGGATAGGTAGAACAAAAGGTACATACTGCGAATAAATATATATCTGATAATTCCTTGTAGATGGATGTACTAATTCTAATATCATAGGGAAGGTAATTCATGAAAAGAAAGATACAGCCAAGATACAGCCAAGCATAACATATAGAGTTCACATAAAATACTATGCAGTATCGAAAAAATCGTCATTAATCGTCAAAATCGTCAAAATCGAAATTTCCAGAAAGGTTCATAAGATTCCTGTTCATTTGAGATTAGCCATTCAACAATTTTAAAACAAAAACACAAAATAAAATTTCAAAAATTTCACGTTTTTACAAAATCACCTGAAATAACAAAATCACCGCAATATAAACTGAAAGCAATCTACTTTTTATACTTACGCAGCACGCATACACCCGCATATTCACCCGCAGACTTACCACAGATTCACCCGCAAATTAGCTCTCGTAACATAAATATGAACGGTTACGTATGAAAATTAGGGGTGGACGTATCTAAGCAATTCTTTTACGGCCTAAAAATATCAGATATTTGCGCTTTATACAAAAATAGAAACTGATATAGAATATAAATGCTCAAAATATACCCATAATCAATTGAGTCACTGTTGTCTTTGTCAATCTCATTTATCAGTTTGTCCAATTGTTTCTGAAACGTAATGAAAAGCTAATTATTATCGCCAGATTAAAATAAACAAAACGAAAAGGTGACGCAACAGTACAAACAAGGAAAAATTGAGCAATTGGTTTTGGGGGAGAGAAAGAGACTAAAAATGTTTTAGTACTCTACAAGTCAACGGCAACTTGGCTCAGTACATGATCCTGAGTGCTTCTCTGGGGCCATTCAAATTAATTTAATTTTTTCAGAGAAGATTTCATTAAAAAGTTCTTTAATTACAGTTGAAATTTTCCATTACCAAATCCATTTGAATTCCCATCTCTTTCAAGCCATGTTTGAATTCCTCCCTAGTGATATCTCCACTGTGGTCTTTATCCAGCCTAAAAAACATATCCTTCAGGCGAAGCGAATTGTCCTGAAGGAATTCCATGAGAATGTCCATTCCGTTCTTTTGCTCCTGGAAACAAGAAAATTTTATCAAAAAAAGACGAAACACTGGAGTGAATGTCGTTAGATGTTTTTGATAGGTTTACCATACTGAAAGCTCTAAAATTGGTCGCTACTAGTCCCACACATTAAAAAAATTCTGAATTAGATCAAAGGCAACCAAATGTTAAGTGGCATAGATGTAGAAGCCAGGTGGTTCAAGGGGTAAGGGTCCCCATTTTCCAGAAACAGAGGTAAAGAACCTATTTGCAGCTCACATAGGTACATGCCCCTCCCAAACTTTTGAAATCCTTCCTACCTCTATGCTAAGGGACATAATGTTGAGGGCATTGTCAGTGATATAAAGCCATGACTCTTTAGGAAGATCACAGTGCGAAAATGTATGTAAAGTATAACTTACTAAGTTGACTCTATATAGAGAGCAATTTACCTCTTTTTAGAGCTCATACTCTATCAGAGGATATCCTGCAAGTGTGGGTCAAGCACGTCAGGGGTTTCGACAATTTCTATTCTATGGGGTGTTTGGGATGTGTCATATCTCATCCCTTTATAGGAAAAGGTAAGCTTACCTTGAAAGTAAAACACTCGAAAAAACAATGAAACTTTCTTTAAATGTCAAGAAAGGGAGTGGGGGCGCTGGTTGGCCTAGGCCAGGGTCCTCCGAACTTCTTATATTCCTGAATTTTATACAAAACGGTTAAGCAGAACAAAGTCTTACTTCATTTGTTGATGTGCGGGTCTTTTTGTCAGTCACAATCACTATCCCTCTTTCCTTCTCTAATTTTTGGATTGTTGGAAGGAACTCAAGTGGAACAGATATGTCCTTGAAAAAATTAGAATGTTTAAGGGAATTCACAAAAGATGATTGCAGTACACAATAACAAAATGGAATGGAAATTACCGAGGTGTTGAAGGTTTGAGGTTCAACTGGCAGTCATCCTGTTTGGTATTCCGGGTTCAGGTGCATGTTACAATTGTGTTTCAAGACTTTAGAATTATATTATTCTAATAACGAACATCCATAACATTTGTAATTGTGTTATCGCTTAATACTTTCAATTATATAAGACCCTGGTTAAGACTTCCCAGGATAATGCTCTTCTTAATACGAACTACCATAATATTTGTAAGTGTATCGTCGTCAAATACTTTCAAGTGTATATGATCCTGGTTAAGACTTCTTTCCAATGACGATATTCTTCTTAATACAAACTACCACAGTATTTGTTAGTGTATTATCATTGAAAATTTTCAAGTGTATATGATCCTGGTTAAAACTCCTTTCCCGTGACGACTTTCTTCTTGATACAAACAACCATAATATTTAAAAGGATGCTATCGCCAAAAACTTTCAAGAATATCATCCTGGCTAGACTTTTTCCCATCACCTGTTCAAAAGTTTTTGAAAATCTAGGGATTTGATTGCCTTTAAACCTTGGCAAATCATCCATGGTTCTTATACTGATACTATTCTGGTAGCAACTCGATTGTATATAATATGTATTGGAACAGCCTAACGCTGGATGGAACGAATCTACCACAATTCATTGCAAGTTTCACAAATTCGACGTTATAAAGGGTGATATTTAGTGCTGAATATATCATTATTGTCATCTCCTTGTTATATGTACTTGCTTCAATCTGTCAGGGGCAAAATCTTAAAGTTCTACTTGTTTTCCAACTATAAATTGGTCGTGTTACTTAAGACTTCTTTGCTCCATATACAAACCTCTAGGCCAAGATGAATAATGTTTAGGTTTAGGCCAACAGCTTCAAAGATCTCCCTTACACCAGCCTCGCCAATTGGATTTTGACCAACCTGAAACAATTATGAAAGATTATCTAAATAAAGAAATAAACAGAGAACATAGAATAACAAGTCACAGTTATGTAATAAGTGGATTATTACGTTTGAAATGCCTACAAAAATTGGAAAACTTTTGATAAACATCTGATTTTGTGTATTTCTGTCAAGCTCAGGTTAGCAGTAAATTTTATTGATTATATTTACAAGATTGAAAAAATACTACAGAAAATAAGCTTATACTACTAAAAATATAAATGAATGTATTCGCTTTGGTGCTTAGAAGAGGATGGTTCAAATTCGCAGCTATAAAAAAATCTACTTTCGAATATTTTACTTTTGAAAATTCGAATAACATAAAAAAACACCGAAAAATACTTTTAAATATGGAAATTCAGCTAAATATATTAATAATTATGTGAAATATGGTCATGTAAGATTTGAAGCTTGCTAACGGATTACAGTTAAATTGTCTTGATTAATAAAGTCTTGAAGTATTTGCACGTTCAGAGGGAATTCATAATGCCATGCAGACGTGCAACCAGAGATGGAAGCTAAACGTGTGTTTCATATGGCACTGTTAATAATTTTCGTCGAAAGTTTGGTGTTTTACAGAGAGAGGAAGGCGTATTCCAGTTGATAACTATGTATAATTTTACCTTGATTTCAATCAGACTTTGGTGAGAAGCAACAGCTGGCATAAGCTTCAATATTGCAGCTTCATTCAAATGGTTGTTTCTACAATTTGAAAGGTATGGTAAAGAAAGTGACTAATGAAAGCATATGATTGTCAAATACGGAACAGAACGATTTTTGTTTAAGCACTGAGTTCTTTATAGCAAAATAAAGAATATTTTGTCTACCTTAGGTCGAGATGCTTCAAGCTTTCATTCTTCTTAAGATAAGTACTAAGTGCCATTGCACCGGTGTAGCCAAAGCTGTTCCAAGATATGTTCAGCGATGTCAAAGTCTCGTTTACCTGCAAAATTTGAGAAAAGGTTTGTGATTTCAGAGAAGAATAGAAAGAAGCCTTGTTTGCCCTAATTAAAGGCGTGGCTTTATCAGTTTAAAGTCAAGTCTTTTCTACTTAAGAGCAGAACTGACTAAGTTTTATTCAAGTGAATATTCTGCTAAGAGGAGCTACTTCTCAGGAGCATTTTTTGAAAGACAAAGAAGTTGAACAAAATTTTACTGAGGTTTTCTGTGTACTGTTTACTTTGATAACACACCCACCGATAATGCATGAGCAATCGACACAGCCCCTTTCCCGCTAATTGCGTTCCATTTCAAGTTCAGCATTGCAAGACCATAATTCATGCCCTGTGAAAGCAAAAGTTTTCAGCATTATGACGTCATAACCACAGGGTTAACAAAAGAAATCACCTTGCCTACAAAGGCAGGGTAACAAGAGATCTTTTTTCCCAACAAATTTCACAAACAGAGTACCAAAGTACATTAGCTTTTGTACCAGAGCAACACTAAGGTGTTGTGGAGTAGGAATGCTGCAATAAAGAGGAAAAACGTCTTCGCTCGTCTCTCTTTACTTCCCGACATGTCAACAGAACACCATTTCCCCACACCCAAAGCGATGGTCTAGTGCCTTGGGCATTAGCACGGTAAGTTCGATCTATTCTACTCTCCAAGCATAGAATAAGAACAATACCGTACAAAGCATCAACAGCCAATACTAACTGTGGTATGAGATAATGCTTGGTCCGAGCATACGTTTGTAAACACCCGGAAAGTCTCCCTTTTTTATACTTTTAATCCACGTAGACTTAAACGTAAAATATTGTGTTAAAAATTGATGGTTTTAAATCGTCAGGAGAGCAGTGAAAGTACGGTCATTGGTTGAAGGATAATCCAGATGTATAAAAATATTTCGATAAAATGGTGGAGTAGACATGCGCACTAATATTATTCATCAATGCAAAAATCGAGGAAACGCTTTAAAGCATGTACCGTATTTCCCCCAATGAACGCCGTCTCTGATAAACACCTTCAATATATAACAACACGTTCAATAAATATAAACAGGGTACGTACCAAACCAGCACCTAGATAAAGGCCACCCATTTCTCCCAACTGATTGTAACTGAGATCCAGTACATGCAATTTCTCATTTTCCGTCAGCGCTCCAGCAAATGCCACGGCCACTTTGTCTGTAAACTGATTTCCTGCAAAGGAGATCGTCAGTTATGACCTTCGTGATGAACAATTATAGTGATTGTGCTGCAATGATTCGATTACAGTATTGAATGCACGATTATAGTGATTGTGTTGCAATGATTAGGTGATAGTGTTTTAATAAACGATCATAGTGATTGTGTTGCAATGATGAGGTTACAGTATTGCAGTGCACGATCATAGTGATTGTGTTGCAATGATTAGGTAATAGTGTTTTAATGTACGATCATAGTGATTGTGTTGCAATGATGAGGTTACAGTATTGCAGTGCACGATCATAGTGATTGTGTTGCAATGATTAGGTAATAGTGTTTTAATGCACGATTATAGTGATTGTGTTGCAATGATTAGGTTACAGTATTGCAGTGCACGATCATAGTGATTGTGTTGCAATGATTAGGTGATAGTGTTTTAATGTACGATCATAGTGATTGTGTTGCAATGATGAGGTTACAGTATTGCAATGCACGATCATAGTGATTGTGTTGCAATGATTAGGTTACAGTATTGCAGTGCACGATCATAGTGATTATGTTGCAATGATTGGGTGCTTGTGTTGCTATGGACAATTATAATGACTTATGTCGGACGGTGAACGATGTTGATGAGAAGTGATGATGATGTTGATGGTGATAATGTTGATGATGATGATGATGATGATGATGATGAAGATTAATAATTGATATCATAACAGACCTCGTAAAATGAGACGTCTAATCGATTTGTTGACCTGCAGTGCATTAGCAATAATGATACCGCCCGATATTCCAATAGCATTCTCTGAAAGGTCCTAAAATATAAACAGATTCATTTACATGGACACGTTCAAATAAAAATTTAATCTGAAAGCTTAAAGAGATGCATATGCATTGTAAACATTAGCGGACAGTAACATGAAAGGGGGTACTTATATTGCCTTCAAATGATAATAAAAGATTTACTTCAAACAAAAATTGTTTATTCTTATTTGAAGTCTGAAGGCATTCATCTCGCATTGAGATCTTGTAGAAACTTTGGTCCTACTACAAATTTATTTGCAGGCGTATTTTCAAAGAAAGATAAAATAACACATGGAAAAGATTTCTGTTGTTATGTTTATTTTGAGTTGTATGAAAATGAACGGGTGAATCAGCATATCGTGAATTGTTTTTGCATTTTGGAAACACTGTCTCCGCAAAGGGATGTAAAAGCAAAGAGCGATGCAACGAGCTACTGGGACATTCCTACTGTTACATTTTGCTACCATGAGATCAAGAAGGAAGAAGATGGTGGTTACGGGATACTTTTTTTAGAGACAAGTGTAAAACCTAGCTAGAGGTATTCCATGCTCTACAAAGTCTACAATAAAATTTTACTAGAATTTAGTTTATCTTGCAACAAAATGTTGAAATGACATACCAAATCAGTGATGTAAGAATTCTCAAACAGCATAAAACCAAAGGACATTCCTCCCTTTGAACGCAAATCGTTGTCAGACAAATCCAGCCTTTCTACATATGCGTTTACCTGTGGTGCAATATGGAAGATTGAGAGTCGACTTCACATGGGCTTATGGCTATAGTTTCTTAGGAAGGGGGAATAGGGGAATGGGGGAATGGGGGAGGGGGAGGGACGTGGCTACGATTCCGATAAAAAGAATTGTACAAGTAGAGCATAGGCCATTGCGGTTTTAGCGAAGGCAGGGTTTACCAAGTTTTGCATTACAAGATTTGTCTATCAACAAAAACTTCAAAGTAACAGGAATGTAAATTGGGATTATCCAACAAGCCCGACAAAATGCAGCCAGAGGGGATGTTGCCGCCAGACCCCTGTCCCTTCAAAAACCACGGATAATGATAAAATGTGATACAAGATATTGAAATTATTTATCGAAATACATTGATAATAGGAATAGCTAAGGCCCACTTCCACAAAGATTCCCACACAGATACGTATTGCAAAGAGATTACACAAATGTTGTTTCTTGATGATGTTAAATTGCATACCACAAGTCCTTTTGCAAAAGCTTTTCCGCCTTCTGGTCCAAGGCCATGGTGAGGCATCAATATTTCAGACTCTGTGAATCTTGACAATAAAAATGACGCTGGGATAAGCCCTAAAAGAAAATAACTTGGACTGTTAAGTTAGACAAGCTGAGATAGGTGCCGCCCAACTTAGAAAAACAGGGCTTAACAATAAAACCTTTCTCAGAGTAAAGCAAATATAGCTTATCAAAATTTGCTAACAGAAGCAAAAAAAATGACGAAATTCAAATATAGCAAGGGACCATTTCAGCGCTGCGCGCTAATTTAGAGATTATATTGTTATGGAAAAGATTTAATAGGTAAAATTTATCTTTTTACAAGCCAATTGATAGGAAAAAGAGAACTGCATACAACGCGCGTTTACACGGGAACTACTCTCCTCCGCAGAGGCTATTTGGGAGGGAGATTGGGAGTTAAAAAGGATAAGATAAAAGGAACTGCGGAAGAAAGGAAAAAGTGGAGGAATTGCGAAGGGGAAGGAGGAAGAAAATAGCTATTTTTCCTTTCTTCTTCTCCTCCGCCCCCTCCAATTCTCCGCAGTTTCACCATTTCTCTCTCCCGCAACTTCACCATTTTTCCCTCCCCAATAGCCTCTGTGGAGGAGGGTACTCGGGAATGGCCGTTCTGCAATCTATTATCACCACTATTGCTCAGAAGAAAGATTAACGGAACCTGTTCAAACATTATCGACATCCCAGGATTTGAATTCTTCGATCAAAGGAAAAAGAAACATTTCAGTCTTTAGTAAACGATCTATGGCCGCTAGCATAAAAGAGAAGAGCAAAATTTCAAACTTTGAACCTCACCCTCTTTCTTGCACATATACTCGTAGATTTCTTTACCAGTTTGGTGACAAATGAATTTTCGACCTAAAATAAATTATCCTTATCTAAAATGATATGAAAAACACATTTTAACACTGAAAGACGCATTATATATTGCCCTCTTGCCCTTTTCAAAGTCTTTTAGCTACTCAGAAGGAATCTTGTTCCTTTGCATCAGGAAACCATGAACGCCTCTCCTCCTAAGTCCAGGCATTGAAACATTATGTGCAAACCCATGTACAAAAGCCAGCCATCCAAAAAAGACATCATTCACAGTTTTTCAATTATATTCTCAGTCACATGCTAAAATGTCTTCCAATTATAAAGGACTCGAGTATCATTAAAGCGATCAGTGATTTAATCATGACTATCAAAGGGATACCGTAAAAAGCGAAGTCTACCCTTAGAGCTACACTAATAATATTGTTGTCGTTGCTGTTTCTTGTTTTTAGTGACTCATTGTTGCTGCTGTTGCTCTGTTTGTTGATGTTGTTGCTTTTTGTCGTTGTTGTAGACTTACTCCACGAGCCTCTGTTTCGCCACAGCCTCACTTTATTGACACTACAACAGACATAACTCTATCGTTGTTGCCGCTGTTATTGTATCTTTTGTTGCTGCTGTTTAGATGTTGTGGTATTTTGCTATTGTTGCTGTTGTGATCGTGAGTTCTTAAGTCTTAATTTTTCGACATATTACCGATTATATTCACAAAGTAACAAGTGAATAAATGTAACAGTGGATGAAACAAGAAGTCACTGACTAAGCAATACCGAGCTGTGGTGTTGAGATATCAAAAATGGAAGCCAGCTATCCTACAACATTTAGAGCAATCGACAGATACTAAAGTGGCTAAAGCCATTTGTCAATCAATATCAGCCAATCAACAAACGTGTGCGTGTTATCACATTCACTGATTGGCCAATTGTTGATTGATTGATGGACTTCATCAAATCACGAATCTGTCGATTGTCTTCAAAAATATCAGTGATTCATAAATACCAGAAAACTCTTCTTCCAGGTCAGTATCATACAAGCTGTCACTGTCAGAGCTGGTTTCATCCAAATTTTCTTCATCCCTCTCCTCTTCTGAAGCTTTTGGACATTCTTCGAGATCTGTGATTGACAGTGAACGAGTTCCTTTCTTAATTTCACCTAACAAACGATTGATCTTTCATTAGTTCAGTGATCAATAAGATGAATGAAAAGCATGAAATTCTTACTTAGGCAAATGTTATCTCGTTTGTTCCAGAGTTGAATATTTAAATGGCTTTGAAAGAATGAAAAGATGATCTTGGACTCTGATAAATCACTGCTAAGCATTCAACCTGGCAGCAAATTGATGAAAAGTCTTCATACAGAATGAATAATTCTGATAGTTGATTTATGATTGATGATTATGGGGCGAAGATGTTGATCACGAGGTAGGAAGCATTTAAATAGTAGGAGGTACATGTAAGCAAAAATAGGTACCTCTGTGAGCTACAAATAGGTACTTTACCTCTGTTTCTGAAAGTAGGGGTGGAGCACACACGCCCCCGTGCCCTAGGGTTCCTGCGTCTTTGTTTAAGACGATGATTATGATGGTTCATGAACATGATCAATGATTGATTGATGATGAGTGATGACGATTGATGCTGATTGATGATGATTCATGATATGGTGATTACAGCGGTGATATGGTGATTACAACGGTGATGACGAAGATGAAGATGACGAAGGTGTTGGTTGACTATGATTAAAATTTTGGCTGAAAATAAGGATGATAAATTGTAAATATCTGTAAAGTGGCTGAAAGCTGTAAGAATCAGAAGCTAAGATAAAACTTAATTTACCTGTAAAGCGAACCCTAAGCAAGGCCTCGTTCAACTCCTCCTCCTCTGACTGAAAATTGCACTCATCATCACTGACATCCACAAAATCTTCCAAATGCTCTTTCATCCGTATAACCTGCTCTTCGTCTTCTTCTTCTTCCTTTATTGATGGTGAAAACATTCTTCCATGCATCGCACGCTGCCTTGGACTAAAACCACTGCTTCTGTTTTTGTGCTCGCTCGCGGTTTCCTGTTTGCTATCATCAGACACCCAATCAATTTTACCTGAAATATGGGTCCCTGCCCGACCCCTACCCCCATTATTAGTTTCACTGCTTCTTTTAGGCCTGTTACCCATATTTAAGGCTCCCGGATTAAAAGTATTGGATTGAAAATCATTCGCCGTGTGACTGAATTGAGTTTGGTCATACTTAGCTTTATCTACCCGAATTGTACTTAAACGATCAGACTCTGATTTTGGAAGAGTTTTCTTTCCGTTTGACGATAGTGCAGTATTAATACTGACAAGTCTGTAGGAGGCATCTTTGTATCTGCTACTCGTTCTTACTGAATTTGTTCTTCCTTGCGATTTCATCTATTCAAAAAAAAGATAAAAATTGGCGTTTGAAAAACTTCAAGCAACTTTCTCCACGTGAAATTTTCTCCCTTCACGAGATAACTTTCTTCAATTAAAGTATTTTTGTTAGGCAATTGTAATTTTCATTCGTTGTGTTAACTCGTGAAGGAGACAGCAATGGTACCCGTCAAATTATTGTCTAAGCTACGGTGTCGATCTACTCAAATATTAAAGGGATATTATTCTTCACAATATAGATGTGTCTTTCCTGTTTCCCTAGTAAACCAGCTGTATTCAACGTGTGAATATTGGAAAGCCTGCTGTTGTAGAAACATCTGGCGTATATCTGGCAAAATAGGATGTTCTTGTGTCTTTTTAAAGGCCTAGCCAAACGAATCAAACATCCATAGAACATATAACATTGTTGGACGACGTTTCATGACACGGCCAAACGAATCAAACAAATGTTAAAACATCCGTGGTGATCAAGCGCTGCCGCATAGCTTCCTACGGTTACGGCGTTATAGTGGGCCAATGAATAAAACATATTTTATCCAATAATGTTGGATGATGTTTCATGCCGATGTTTTATTCGTTTGGCCAGGGCTTAAGACGATCACTCGTATAAGCGCCCTTAATAATAAATGTAAGCTGGTCATGTGTTTAGGATATTGGAAGATTAGCATTTCATAATTTGAATGAACATCTCAATACAAAATGACTGTGAAAAGGGGAATGTTTGGGATAGATGAATACAACATCTTCAAAATGTGCGGAGGGACTCTGATTGACTTAACATGTTCGCAATTTCGAAAAGTCCTAAATTTAAACTATAAAAGAAGAATGAATAACGAGAATGTTATTCAGTCAAATTGTTTCTGCAAGATCGAGACTGACATTGTCTGCTTTTGCTATGTAAAGCAAGCATAAAAAATCCGTCTCTTTCAAAAAGTCAGAAGCGATCAACGCATTATATTTTCTGTGGATCTTCAAAGTGACAACGGAGGAACTATCAAAGATTCGACAGAATGTTACCAAACCTAAAGAATCTAGGAAAAAACAAAAATACTACTAATGACCGTTCTCGCATGTGAAACATGCTTATAAAACAGCTTTGATTGAATTGGCTGAAGGGAATACGAACAAGAACATGCTTAATGAGCTCTTAAATGAGAAGAAGAAAAGCCTTACATCTTAAGTTCTTGGAACTGATTAGCAAAATATCACAAATAAGGTTACCTTGATTTTCTTCTCCTGAAAAACCACGAGACGTTACGCAGTGAAAACCAACGGCGAATTCCTCTCCCTGCAACAGCTTACAAAAAACTCGTCCGGTTTTATTCCCCGATTTCAACACGATCAACGCTACACACCAAACATCATTTAGTTTTGGAAATATTTGCTGGTCCGTTGCTGAAAAATGCATTATCGATACGTTAGAAGTCTTCCTTTCAATGCGTCAAGATTCTATCTAAAGAATCCTTGCCTTGTGTACTTTGCGACTTTTTTAAATAAATTTTGTAATCTTGTATGAAATTTTAGATGAGTACCAGAATGTTTTCAATAACGTTTTAGAATATTTAATTAATTCTTCTCATATGTGTTCAGTTTGAATTCAAGCAAAGATTTCTTCGACAAAATGTATATAAAGGTTTTCAACAGAGTTTAATTGACTTGTTTTTTAGTATACAGCTTTAGCCAATTTTGTCAAACACATTTGTGATGCCGCGTTGCTTTAAAATAAAACTCTAGATCTTATACTTAGAATTGGCATTCAAATCTTTAAGTTTCTTTAGTGACTAACAATAAAATGAATGACTCTGGGACTGCACAAAATTTTGGACAAGATTAATGTATATTCGACAAGATTTCCTTTGCTGATCCTGCATTTCTTAACTTCTTCTTTTCCAATTCATTACAAAAATGAGTTTCAGTTAGGAGAAGAATTAATGACTCATAAAGAAGATAAGAAAACTGTCTAAGAATTGACGAAGAAAGTGAATCTTAACTTACTTTTGTCGTGGTGTTCCTTCATGAAACCTCCGAAAATTCGAACTTGAATGTCTGAAGATTAGAATTCAGCTTTCTACTAATCAACAGATGCTAATTTTACGCTAGTGGCTGCCTAGACTTACTCCATGAGCCTCTGTTTCGCTACTGCCTCACTTGACGGACGCTACAACAGAGCGTCATTTAAGTGAGACAGTATTCTGTTGTAGCGTCAGGTAAGTGAGGCAGTAGCGAAACAGAGGCTCATGGAGTAAGTCTAGCTTGCTTGTAACATAATAAACACTGTTGCGTATTTCAAACAATTAATTTGAATTTCCGTTTGTATTTGGTGATAGTGGGGACATCCTCTGGTCCAGCAATGTTTTCTTTGTATGAAGCCCATGCACAGTAATCAGACTAAATGACAATAAACAATAATTGATGGACAACACGGCCTTAGGCAGACTCCTTTTTGCATTTTCCCGCAAATATTTAGTTAAGCAACAGTTTTAAAAACTTGCTTAATGCAAAAATATCTTACGAAAAATTTCCGCAAAAATATAATTCTCAAATTCATTTCGGTAGATACCCCTAAAGCTATTGGACATCCGCTCCTTTCACTGGTTTTAGAAAAACCACTCCTAACACATTTTAGGGCACACTACGTCGATAATGGGTCTGCGGGCCAATTGGGTTTGCAGCGCAGGCTACGTCGATAACTTAGGGCCCCCAAACCGAAAAGGGTCCCGATATTGTTGTTGTACCAATGTTTTCAAGACTCCACTCAAGTTCACCTCATTTTAGTTCTTCAACTGGAGCTTCTTTAACTCAACTCCATTACATAAATAACATTGGCATTTAAACTTTTATAAATTTGAATAAGACGACGCTGCATTAATAGATGCACATATATCTATTAAACCCTTTCAAATAAGTTGTCTTCATCTCCGACGGCCTCCCTAATTTCAACAATAAAACCAAAGAGGGCCTGAACACTGCAGAATTTTATAAAAAACAAACAATACACAAATGGCGCTTGTAACAAAGAGAACCGTAATTCTTCAACAGATTTTCATTGCATTTAGACAGTACTAGATGATAATAAACTTTTGATTGTGAAAATAAAATGTAGAAGGCAGATAGGACGCGGTTAAACGCCCCCATTTACCTCCATCTATCAACAGTATCAATGGTTTGGTAATGTAGAAAGGAAAAAATGAGGTGTCCATACAGGGCCTGCGTCACCGATGCTAAAGTGCGGGATCAAAAAGGGAGGCTACCTATTTAATAAGTAAAGGGGGCATTTAATACCTATAGTTAGCAAGAAAAGTGGGGGCGGGGGGCATGGCCCCCGATCCCCCTGTGCCACGGGCCCTGCCATATGTCTCCACTACCCCCTAATGTTCAAAAACCTTCCTTCGTTCTACTATAATGCTTATTAGCTTTTCGTCCATATTTTCATTCATCGATATAACATATCCAGGAAAATGTCACGACAAAATGATGAATAGCAAGGGAGATAGAACTCAGGCGTGGGTAACACCCTCAACTCCATTCTCCATATCATCCTGTTTCTTTTGTTCGTCAGTATCCATCTCCTCCTCAGCCTTTCTTGCCTCCTCAGCAGCCTGTTTGAACACATCTGTTTCGGTTGGTTTTGACTTTTTCTCGGCGGCTGTTCTCCTCTGGTCCTCCCGGGCGAATCTTTCAAACATATTACCTGGCGTGTAAAAAAACATGCAAAAATTAACTTGTTACAATATAACTGTTTGTTATTGCTTGTAGAACGGTTCGATGATGACGTCATTGAAGTCTTACGGCTGCTTCTGTAAATTTTAGAACTATATAACAATCATTTGATAGATAAAGAGCCTAAGAAGGTCATTTAGCCGTTTTAAAGACTCACTGTCAACCAACAAAGCCTCTATATTTCAAGGGGTCTTCTCTTGTTCTTCAACATCGCGCCTACTCAACTTCACGAATTTCTGTGTGAACTTGAACATTCTAAAAATATACTTTATGACGTCACCATCTAGCTAATCGATTGGCGTGTTTGCATTGACAACAGCACATTCGATCAATTCATGAATGCAAGAATATTAGTGGTGATATAAATCTGTGTTTTGAAACAAAATCTTCATTGAATCGTCAGAAATAGGCTTTGAAAGATTTTACATTCCTGCTTTTTCACTTACAAAAAGTGATTTCATTTGTAGATATAAAAAGACTATTCTAGTATACCTAACAACGCAGCATTAGTTGGATACACAAGTTTTAGCTACAGATTTTGTTCCAAAATTAGCAATACTTTGTCTCTGTATTCTGTAGACAGATTGACATGCGTGAAAATCCGCGTAACAAAATTGCGACGCATGTTTTTTGTAACTAATAGCCCGCGTAAGGTTTCAGCATTCTTATCTTATGTCCCATAACCCAAGTATAAGCAAGCTGACACAATCATAAACGCTTTTAACTTTGGCTTTTTACATTTCAGTTTCTTTGATGAAGGCTCGCTACACCAGAACGTACTTTAGTAAAAATTTATGGCACAATTCCTGAACCTCTTTAGATAATTTATAGGGTAACAGAAAAAGAGCACACATAAGAAAACGAAGTTATGGAACAGCCCGTCAATCGATTCAAAGCAGGCAACCTCCCTGTATAGTTTCAAAACAACCATCTAGCAGAACACTTTTTCACTTTCTATTTTTTATTGTAAGTTTTGATATTGTATAGCTTGAAATTTTGTAAAGAAGATTCCATAGTTTAACTAACAGCTCTGCAAATCGTTTTGTTAGATTGCAGTTAGTGTTTTTATCTGAGTGCCCTTTTAAAACCAGCTTCTATTGAAGTGCAACCATCCTTAAAAAAATAAAATATGAAATATGAGAACGATAATCTGCACTTAGTAAACTAAAGCTTTTCGTCTGACACTCTTCAGAGTTTAAAACGTCAGAACATAGACCGAAAGCTTCTATTGAGTTTTCGGTCTATGTTCTGACGTTTTAAACTCTTAAGAGTGTCAGACGAAAAGCTTTAGATTACTAAATGTTTGTTTTTTTAAAGCCATTTTCAAGTTTTGTACCACCAAAAGATTGTTTGCATATTCTGCACATTCGTTCGGTACACTAAACAATGGTGCCGAATTTGCTGCATCGTACAGAAAGCTCTTACCGTATTTTTTCCTTTCTTTTGCATCTTGCTCTTTGATTTTGTTGATAACAGCCTTAAGCTGGTCGTGAGCAGCCTTGTTCTTTGGGTCTATTTCTAATGCTGTTTTAAAATCTTTTCTTGCTAACTCGAATTCGCCTATTCCAAAGTTTGCCTTATTGGAGAAAAAGAGCATGTCAGGAAACCTAGATAGCAAATTATTATTTTGTTTATCACTTTGAAATAAACTTAAAAACGTTAATTAAAATAATAAATACAGTTCTTACTTTCTGTTATATACTCTAGTGACCTGAATAGACGGGGATCTGGAAAAAGGGTGGGTGGAAAATTTATCAAATAATAATTTACGGAGTGAATGGGTGGTAGTCCTCTAAAATTGAAAAAAGGAGTACAAACATGTCACACGTAACTTGTATGTTGTTTTCTTAAATTGCGATTTTGAAATCTTGTTTTGGCCATGGCTGGGTTTAAAAAGTCATCACGACTGCAAACAAAATTAAAGACACGACTTGTCAATTTTCTTGATACACAAAGTTTGAAAATAATGAAAGGGGGTTCTGAAATAAGGATTTCATGGGTGGTTTGTTTCAAAATACTAATAGACGGGGGGAGACGTTTTGAACGAGGGGCAAATCATTTCATAAAAATCTCGTACACCTTTGGTGGAAATCCTATTGTATTATGAGAAAATCTCTGGAAATCCTTTTGTTTTTGTGCAAATCTCGTACACATTTTGCAAGAGTGAACTGCCCCTCGGTTTTAAATTCAGCTCCATTGTTTCCTCTTTCCTACCTTCGCATTGATTTTCCTACAACCTACCTAACTCTACCAGGAAGTAGGACGTAAAAAACAGTGGTGTCAAGTTAAAAACAATACGCAGGCTACATAGGCAGGCTATATAGAGCGACGTTTGAATCAATCAAGTACAGCAGATTTTAGTAAGTACGGGAAAAGTAGTTAGGTCTTGCCCAACATGCTGATTGGAGTTCGACTCCGTTTCAAACGTCGAGCCTATCATGTGCCGAGCTAAATGCATAAATTATTTTCCTTCACAGAAACCCACGGTACCGAAATTTCTAGGAAAACGTGCGAAGGGGACAAAACTGTCTGTGCGTTAGCGAAATGGATTCCGCTGTCACGAAGCTTTTCAGTGCTTGTCATTTGAGCACCAAATATCGTTGCATTGCATGCAAGGTTTTAGTTTGCAATAGATGTTCCACTGCAGAGGAAGGCGGGTTGATAGAAGATTGGGTCGCAAGCAGGCAAACAGACTGTTGAGGATCCACAATGGCATCCGGCACTTCGGAAACAATCATTGACATGGTCAAAAACCCAATACTAGCCATCTCTGCGATTGTGTTGAGGTAGTCACCTCTTCCTAAGACGGTACAGACAAATACCTAGCTTACATTCTGGAGAGATCGGCTCCTCTGCCAAGGTTTCTCTCTCCAAACTGTGACATACCTTTGACACTGTGGCAAAAAGGATGCTGTTAGATGTCTCTTTAAAACCATGAAATGTTTTCTTGCAGCACTTATCACCATATGAATTCCAAACAACATTCCACCATCCCCTGTTACGTGCTAGTATTCGGCAAATCTTATTGTTGCAGCACTTGTTTACAACATGCTCTTGGTTGCTGTTAACAATATACATGGGAGTAGGGCTACTCAAAATCTTCTGGCCAGGGTTATAGCAATTCTTAGTCTGTATTCGGCTGCTAGATGTTTTCTTCTACTTGATGTCTGCCAACATTCATTTCATTTACAAGAATTTAAGAGCTGTATGCAAGGCCGTTCCTGAATGATAAGTTAGACGTTTGAACAGGGCCTAAGTTGCAACCTTGAGATTCAAGCCTAAGGCTGGTTTCTCATTGCACAATCTTTTGCCAATTTCTGCTATACTAACACCTGGCTGTGCTCAGACTTCTGTAGTTCCAGCATGTTAGTTGAATAAAATGAGGGACGTAGATTCGAGAGGTTGATTAATAAAGGATATAGTTGATACAAGATTGATATGGTTTCAAAATATTTGGGAAGAGGACTTGGCACAGATTGAATCTGGAGAAAATTCAACATCGACTTTAAAATTTGGCATTTTGTTCAAAAAGTGGGGGGCTAAAGTCCCCCCAGCCCCCCTGCTCAGCGGTGCCTGACACATGAAGTCAAACAAGGACCAGGGCATCATTGCTCGTATTCAGTGTCTGCAAGAAAGATGAAAGGATGAGATGAATTCACTACTCACGCGGCAAAGTGCAGAAAAGCGCAGAAAGGCGCAGAAGGGTTTCAGTTAGATATGCAGTGGGTACCTACCTGTCCTCTCCGGAAAAATCCTTTCACGTTTTGGTCTTCTATCTCTAGTGCTTTGTCGCAGTTCTTCTTGGCTGCCTGGTATTGCTTCATCTTCAGCTCACACATCGCAGCATTTAAATGTCCTATACATTTCAGAGGGTTGGCTACTAGTTTTTCGTCATCTTTGTACACATCTAACAGCTTGATCATTTTATTGTATTGTGTCAAGGCACGTTCGTAGTTGCCGGACTAAATGAGAACGAGAACGAAACAAGTGATAGGTGGTAGAAGCCAAATAAAATGAGTCAGTGGTTTTTACTATGCAAATAGGTACAGAGCAGCAGGGTGATTAGTCTTTGAGCAACAAGCAGCCCAGTAATGGTTCAAACCAAAAAGCAAATTTCACTATCAATAATACAGAGTTGAGCCAAAATATTGGTTCACTGGAAATACTAGGCCAAACAGGATAAAGGTAACTGCCGAGTTTTACACATTATTCGCAGGTTCTTGGCTTGTTTCATAAAATGATGAGCAGATGCCAAAGTACAGTGATTTGATGAGAAAGGAACCTTTGCTAGTGTGGATCTATGTAAGCCAATTTGTAAAAAATGTAAAACTAAGAACAAAGTAAACTTTTAGGCTAGATGATCAAAATTCAAAATTCAGAAAAAGACTTTACTGATATCAAAAGGTAAGAACTCTATTTAGAAAAAGCACTAGAGCTCAAAAGAATCTGTACCTAGATATTAAATGAAACATTTCCGGCATATCAAGAAAACTAACAAACCTTGAAGAAAGATGTACCCTTGTCTTTCACTTTTTGTGAAACTTCCATCTTCTCCTCCAATTCCATCTCATAAGTTTCTTTTGGATTTTCGAAGGCAGTTAAATAAACTTCATACGAAATTTCTGCATTTCCTGGGATGTTATATTCTTCACTTCCTTTTTCCCCAAAACCATAATTTGCCTGAATTCTTAGATGCACTTTTTCTCTCTTCTTCATTTTATATAAAGCCTTTTCTATTCCTAGGCATATACCTTTTTCTTCCCCTATGAGAAATCAATCAACTTCAAAGAAAGTGTAGAAGACTTTCTTACAAGCAGCGAAAAGTAAAATCAGACATAAAAAATCTGATTGATTGATGTGTTATATACTGGCAAAGAAACACTGAAAAAATTCTAAAGGGCCAAAAAAGGCAAGTATTGAAGGATTCATTAGCTACTTAACCACTACTAGATGATTGCATGAAATCAAAATAAGTAGACAGATAATTAAACTGTTGACCGGCTTACATGACTCTCTTGTTGAGCAAAACAAATAAACTATAATACTGGCACTTGATTAAAGGCACAAACAAAAAGGGGTGGGGGTAAAAAGATGGACTATTTCATAAGAGTTACTGCCAACCACAACCCTCCAAGAAATCTGGTGAGAAGTGATCACAAACTTTGCATGAGATTTGGATAGGGCAATTTTATTGGATAACGTGCAAATATATAACCCTGGTACAACAGAAAAAGACTTATTTCAATGTAAAAGCAAATCGTAAGAGCCACTGATTAGATTGCTCCTCAAAAGGGTAAGTCTAAGTCCAGCATTGGGTGTTAGCTGTTGTGACCTCTTAATTCTACAACTTGCTAAGCTCAAACAAAATCATTCAACATAAAATTTCTTTAAATCAAAAACAGGGAGCCTCAGGAAATTCAATCAAACTAGGAAATGTTGATGTTAGCAGGGTTGTTAAAGGTTGGGAGCTTATTCCAGAAATTGAGTGACACTGAGCTCAATCAAAAGTATTAGAAGAGAAGAGAACATGTAGATATTCTACCAACCTTCACCCAGTACAAATTCTACATCTCGTTCTTCAAAAGCAGTATCCTTGTACATTCCCCTTATGTGAGCTAAAACAGAAGATACAATAAAAGAAACTGGGTATTAAATATTCAGAAAGATAGAAATCTTATTTGGATCTGGGTATTAAACTGGGTATTAAGAGAAACTGGGTATTAAATATCTTCTGTGTACCAGATTGTCACAAAGTGGTTGTTGAGATTTACTGGTGGGTAGAAATGCTAAGGAGAAATTGAAAGAAATGTAACCATGGAATACCTGTGGGATGCAAAAACAGAAGGTAGTTGTAGTAATTTGTTGCTTTGCGAATTCTGTTTTTGTCCACAGGCATCTTATACCAGATAGAGTACAATTGTGACGTACATCAGTCACACTTCACATGGTCTTTTTTGTCAAATTACCACATTTCAGGAGTTTATTTATTGCTTATAGAAGACATTAGAAGTTAATCAATTTTAAGCAAATTTTGTAATGTGCACCAAAGGGGCATTTCCTCCAAAATATAAAAAGCTGAAAGTTATTTGGAAATTCAAACAGGCTGGGCTTGTCCTACATGCATCATTTACTGTCTACACAGAAAAGAAGTTGAATATAACGACCCTTCATCATGGACATCAAGAAAAGAAAAACCTTGTTGCTTTAAACTGACATATGAGCTAAACTAAGGAGAAAACTAAAAAACACTTTAATTCATTCATATTTGTCACATAATTATGAAGAATGAACTGAACTATTTTTCACCTTATTTACAATCGACCTTTTGCATTTTCTGTAACTGACCTTTGCATTTCTGTAGATTTTTTTAATTTACTATTACTTTGAAAAATGCTGTGTTGATTGGAGGATGCATATTTTGGACTCTTTGGATGATTTACTTTAGGTGGTACAGTCTACGATCATTTGCTTGGTAATGGAATGTACTATCAGAAATTTCTTCTTATATCTCAGACTTTGAAAATAAAATATTCCTGGAAACCCAGAAGAGCAAAATGGAAACAATTTTACTGCTCTCCTTTTTTCAAATAACTTTGAGCAAAACTTACTTGTAACACAAGCTTCATCCTTTGGCATTTTGAAACCTTCACCTTTCAACAACACTTTTTTGATAACACCACCATCCCCTGTTATATCTTCATCCTTCCAATAAAACAGCTCAACTTCAAATCTAAGCGTGGCATTTGCAGGAATTTTAGGTGGTGACCCAGCACTACCATATGCATAGTCTGGGGCACAAGTCAACACACAAACTTCACCTTTCTTCATTGTTGCCACGCCTACATCCCATCCTTTGATTACAGAACCTAGTTAGAAAAATTGAATATTTGTGATAACCACTCAGAAATACAAACTTGTTTTGACAATGATAGACAAATCAGGAAGCTGTTTTTTCACCAGGATTTGAATATGTTTTAAATACCAGAAACCCAAAGGTCCCAAAGGCCTACCTGTTTTGAAAAATGCTTGATTTTAGAAAATTTGGATACAATTTTTCAATTGTTCAATTCAATTTCATTGACAAATATACCTAAATACATTACAATACAGAATAAAAATAATTAACATAACATTACAACATAGAACTTAAACATAGAATATTACAAGACATTATGTATTTAAATATATCATGTAAATATACAATAAATCATTTCTGATCTAGTAATCCTGCAGAATATAAAATACTTGAAAATCAGATCTTCTTAGCTAAGAATTGACAAAAAGCTGGGGAAGATGCAAGCCTTGGTAACAACCTTAGCAACATAGCCTGTGAATTGCATGCATGGATCCCAGCGACCAGAGGAATCAGGGGCTGTGGAAGGCAATCCTAACTCTTCAAGGGGGAACCAAAAGCCTGGAGAAAAGGAGCATGCACTTAAGGCAACCCGAAATAGCTGCACTTCGAAGATTTCTCTTGGTAGAGCCTCCTTATTGCTTGAAAATAGAATGTAGCTCACATAATAAGTTATCAATAATTGATTTATTATGATTTTACATCCTCGTCTACTTTTTAAGCGCGTTTTAACAAATTGGAAAAATCTAGCCCTTGAATATAAATGCATTTAACTTTTTATTGAGGGTCTCCTAGATACAACTCTTTGTTTGGTGGGGGGGGGGGTTAGCCCTGATAAATAAGTGAATTATTGGTGCCATATTTCACAAAGGAAAGTATTTTACTTATGCTACTTAAGTGTTTGGGGGGGGGGCTCGGTCCTTTTCAAGGGAATATCTTTTTATTTTTAATGGGAACACGGGAACATTATTGGTTGTTTTTTAAAGGGAACACGGGAGCAAGTACCCTACCCTCTCCCCTCCTTGGGAGACCCTCTTCGTTTGAATGTTGAAGTTGAACTGATTTGCTTTAATCGCTAGGTTTAAATTTTATAGAATATAATTAAATTACCTTCTCCTAACTTAAAACTGAATAAGTCATCTCGGTCCCTGCTTGAATCAAATTTCTCTCCATTTAGTAGCGTCCCTGTGTAGTGGACGAAAACTTCACTACCAACACATGGACACTCATCTCCCTCGCCATCCTTTAAAATCTTCTTCAGAACTCCACCATCTTTCTCAGGCGATATATCGACTCCCCCGTCATTCTCTGAAGGAACATTCATCTGCTGATCCGCAGCCATCTTGTTTCTCCTAGTAGAAATGTATCTCTTAACAGAGTAGACTTTGACGAGTCACGTAGAGTGAAGATGGACATGGAGCACGTTGTTCCTTGTTATTCAAAAATTCCTTCGTAGCGCCTTGGAGCAGCGTCCTTGAATCTAGAAATTTCTAAGATCACAGGGAAACAAAAGTACAATTTTATGTACAAAGAAGCACCCACTGATCGATAGCCAATCGTTTTCGAGCAAGATATGATGTACAGATACGATTAGTAGATAAAATTTCTCTCAGATAAAACGGTTTACACTGTACTACATAACAATCTGAAAAAGTAAAATCCATTTTCCTAGGTGAACCAATTTTGTTCGGATTCGTGAAGATTCGGAACGTGGGTCTAGTGTAAACGCGTCGGCGATCTGATTCAGAACTGATAGAATGCTGATAGAATTTATTCGGAACAGTGTAAACAGGGAACAGCAACTTTTCTTAAAAATTCTTGACTATTTTTGTCCGGAATTCTAGCTACAATGTTTGCTGCATTTTTCTCTCTCCATTTTATTCTATTCTCTTAGGGTTTTTAAGAACGTTAGCCTTATTTATAGCTAAGCCTAGCAATTGTAGTGGCGGGGGAGAAATACAGCTTCGGGAATTTCACTGTGTCCTCTATTGAACAAACCTTGCAGAAAAGTTTATCTGACGATGATGTCAACGAACTGCTGATCAACGAGGTAAAAAATCACAGCTGTACACCGGACCCTAGTTTTACAGCTTACAAATATAAAAACAAGAAACAACAAGCACGGGGAATAATCACATCATTTCAAAGCATTTCGGCTTCCAGATGGGTAATGTGAAGCTAACAATTGGATAAGAGGAGATAAAAGGCATAGGTAGGCCTATTGATAATAATATTGTAGACCTACTGCCATTTCTGAAAACCACAGCTTGCCCTTTGCATTGCAAAGTAGCAAAGCGATTTTGGGTCTTGCCTCCCACCTAGGAGCATACTTGTACCTGCATACATTTCAGTAAAAATTTGACGTTATACTTGCATGCTCTCCTGCGCAGAGGCTATCGGGGAGGACGATGGGGATTGAGAAATGGTGAAGCTGCGAAGCTGCGGAGAATAGGAAGGAAAGGGCGGAGGAGAAGAGGCTATTCTTTTCCTCCTTCTCCCTTACAGCTCCTCCACTTTGTCTTTTCTTCCGCAGTTCCTTTTATTCTATCCTTTTACCTCCCTTTCTCCCTCCCCAATAGCCTCTGCGGAGGAGAATAATGCTTGCATGCCAACCTGATGAAATGGTACTTAGGATCGCAGCTTTATAATCTACATTTAATTTGATCATACACACTGCATTTATATATATTTGCTCTTTCAATGCCACAAAAATATGAAAAGTTTTCTATGTATTTTCTCTTTCAATGCCACAAAATTATGATAGGTTTTCTGAAAATTTGATCACTGCTTGGAATTATTGGAAAGGGGGCGTGATACCCCATAATCTCCTAGTAGCGTCTCTGCCTGCTAATATGTAAATGTTTCTCCTACCAAATAACTTTGTGATAGAAGACATCATTTAGTCATTAATAAAAATCCCCACTTTATTTATGATAAAAAGTGTATACAACAAGTATCTAAAAAGCTCATACCGACAGACAAACTTTTACTGATTGAACATCACTTTCCATAGAATCAGAGCTTAAGAGAAAATGGAAGAATCTACGTGATGCCATTGGAAAATGTTTAAAGAAGATTGAAGCTGATAAAGGTCCGGTTCTGCCGGCAGGAAAGCATGCACTTGCCAGCACTATGAATCTCTATTATTTCTTAGGGATACACTTGTGACCCGTACAACCGAGTCAAATGTAATTGAACAGCCTGCTGCATGCCTGTCTTCATTTCGGAGAGTCTTTTCTCAACCTTCACCTCCTCAGTTACTCAGTCGTTGTGGATCGCTAGGGTGGAACTTGTTCGCTAAAATGGATAAAGACTGCCAACGTCCGTCAACGACTCTCAACGACTATATGGAGACCAGGCAGAGCTGTAACAGGATAATTCTTATATTGTATAACCTCGTATTCATATGTACCTCGTTTAGTTTTATGTCAATCATGTAATTAACCTATTGTACGCTGTTAGTATATATTTCTAGGCGTGCCCCCCCCGCAGAAGCGTGGCTCTCGCCCAAAAGAGGCTCCAACCAAAAAGAGGCTGTGATGTGCTCCCCGCAGAGGCTGCGAGAACCTCGTCCTCTGCTATATCATTAGATTTTGTAAATAGGGGGACTTTTGGATATGCACGATTACAAGGATGTAAGCACAGAAGAAGATCTCATTTCTTCGTTTCTCTCATGAAATCCTCTCGCATAAGTCTGCGCAATACAGCATAAGACGTTCGCAGAGCTGTAGAGGGGGGCTAAGCTGTAGAGGGTCAAATCTTGAATGACATTGGCATTCATGTGTGACCTCAATAGCTCTCTTGATAACCGAAAACTCAATAAATGCTGGCAAAATTTTATTACTTCGAATTCTTTATTTTTAAGATTTTTCTTTTAAAGTAACTGGTAGACATTGGAAAATTATTTAACCGTAGAAAAAAATGGAAAGGTAAAGAAATTGATATTGAGGAGGCATGGAAGCCAGAACGATTGAAACGTTCATTTTGTATACAATATAGAGAAAGCTCTATGCCCCCCAACCCCTCTACATTTTTACTATCTTAGGTTAATCGCGTGATAAGTTTGAAACCAGAAATGAACATAGCCCTCAAGTTGAAAATATCAATGAACCATAACATGATCCATTGTTCTAGCAGAGTTTCCTATCCAGTCACACTTCCATTATCTTTGGTTTTTGATGACAATTTGAACAATCCAACGGGTGTTCAATTGGAACCACTTTTAGTGCACAGAGGATAAATGTTACTGATTTAGCTGATTCTTTTGATATCTTTTGTTCGATATCAATGCGCTTAGTTTGCATAAAGAGACTGGGGCGAGAAACTAGCCAATCAGCCTGCAGTTCAAATGTATTATTTATCATCATAAACTATACTTCGTAAGCGACACAGACCACTACCTCAGAGTCAGATTCAGATCAAGGGTATCTACTTCCTGAATCATCTTCAATTAATCCTACAAAAAAGAGTGGTATGTACTTTATGATAACAGACAAAGTATATAATGTATCCAAATATCTTTTATGAAATAAAACGAACTTTGGAGAAGGCTTTTAAAGTCAGGCAGGAAACGAGTATCATAGAAAAGTGAACGCTAGAATTGTAGGGCATAACTCCTTAATGTGAAGACTAGAAGACTGCAATATCTTGGCTTTTTTTGCCGGCTATATTTAAAACGCAGACGTCCAATGATCTGTTGGTAGCATCCTTCAACGCCTATCAATTGGCGCTTTCATATTCACTGTAAATATTCACTGTAAGACTTTGTGCAATTCATCAAAGAATTTTGATTGCTGCAACTTGGTCTTCCATGTCACTAATACCAAGACAAAATAAGAGAACTAAGATAGTCTAACTAAAAAAACCCCTAGATTTAACTCCGTTTTTGCATCCCGACTTTTGGTGGAACCATAGTGGTGTTGTTGTCCAAAACCCAGGGTGCATGCCATGTTAGACCAACGCCAGAGAAATTTCACCCTATTCTAGTTGCTACGCCAAGTGTAAAACATACAAGCTTTTGATTAATATATAGTTTGCATTGCTTTTACTGTCCATATCAATATAATCAGGCTGCCCACGTATTCTGTACAAGTACCGTTTTTGCTACGCCGATCGCGAAAATTTATCACGTACGCCAATGCGTCAAGGCTCGCAAATAGCAAATTTCACGCCGCTACGCCGAGGAAAAAGCTAAGTCCACGCCGGAGATCTCCGGTGTAAACTACATGGAATGCTCCCTGGTCCAAAACAAGACCACCTTTGACATAAGCAAGCCTTGACAAGGCGTGTGATGTTTTGGTACATTTCTATCATGTTTTGGTACGGTTTCAAACTACTTTTAGTTCTCATATTTTATCTTGCTAATACTGAATCAATGGCGGAAATCGCAGGGGTGTGAGCCCCAAGCTTTTGCTAAATTGTTGGTTGAATAACACTTTTTAATGCCCCCCCCTCATTTGCAACACTTGAAAAATGAATTTAGGCCTCTGAAAGACGTTATCATTGTAGCATTGTGTCGTACTGAAGTTGTTCTGTTAAAGCATTAGAGCGCCAAACAAGGCATTGGCCAAACTACTTTCATGACCAGAAGAAATTGCAAATTGCAAGATGAAAATGAGTGATTATAATTGAAATCTTTTCGTGTTTCATTTTCACGGTGAAAAGATTGGCTGCAAATTTTGGGACCCAAAAAACTTTAAATCATACAGAGAAAGTTAATGATTATTAAAGCAATTTGTGTTTTAAAAAAAGCCAGCGCTGCTGGGAATAATTTAGTTGAAACAATGAACAGATGCTTGTATTTTGAAATTGTTATGGCAACGATTTAGATATAAACCACATAAGATGTTATTTCCTAGAAGGCCTCAACATCTGTTTAATTCCATCGCGGGGGCCCCTTAGTTATGATAAACAACACCCTAATCTCAGGAAAAACATTTTGGGCTTTTGGTGCATCAGCCCTTGTCTTGCCTGAGCAATGACGCAATTTTATGGTCGGTGTTTGATTCCAGGGAAAAAACTGCCTCAGTTTTTTACCCCGATAATCAGACTGATACACCTGTCACACAATCGAATGACTGTGTGAGAAGAAGTGAGACAGGAGAAGGCAGAAGGAAGTATATGACGGGATATAAGCAGGAGGAGAAGTGAGTACAAGGGGACAGGGATGGGAGGGGAAAACGCGTACAAACAACGCGTGAGTCTTGCTGCAAAATATGACATGACCCTAGCTGCATCACTGTACTTAAAGAAATATGCCAGGAAAAGACCACCTAGAGAATACCACAAGGTGATTAGCAAATAGCTAAGGTAACATGATATCCACAGCCTACTAAGGATATACGTGTGGGACCACCCGATTCTAGAAAAGGGGAATCTGCGCACTTTCCCCGCGGGTATTAACTCGAATTAAACGATTAATTCCCATTTAATTCCATCGCGGGGGCCCCTTAGTTATGATAAACAACACCCTAATCTCAGGAAAAACATTTTGGGCTTTTGGTGCATCAGCCCTTGTCTTGCCTGAGCAATGACGCAATTTTATGGTCGGTGTTTGATTCCAGGGAAAAAACTGCCTCAGTTTTTTACCCCGCCACAAGAAACATGATAATGTTTACACCCATCAAACACTGACTTAGAAAACCTGTAACTGGGGGAGACTCTTGCCCTAACCTTACTAAGGGAGGAAGTTATTGGTGAAGAGAAGCGGGGAGAGAAAGCAAGAGAAAAGTTTTTTTTTTCTTTATGTTTGCCAACAACAGCAAACGCTTTTTTTTTTTTTTATGTTTGCCCACGACAGCAAACGCTTTTCGTTGTATGTTTGCCAACAACAGCAAACGCTTTTTTTTGTATGTTTGCCCACGACAGCAAACGCTTTTCGTTGTATTTTTGCCAACAACAGCAAACGCTTTTTTTTCATATGTTTGCCCACGACAGCAAACGCTTTTCGTTGTATGTTTGCCAACAACAGCAAACGCTTTTTTTTTGTATGTTTGCCCACGACAGCGAATGCTTTTCGTTGTTTGTTTGCCAACAACAGCAAACGCTTTTCTTTTTTTTTGCATGTTTGCCAACAACAGCAAACCCTTTTCTTCTGCATGTTTGTCAACAATAGCAAACGCTTTTTTTTTTGCGTGTTTGCGTGTTTGCCAACAACAACAAACCCTTTTCTCCTGCATGTTTGCCAACAACAGCAAACCCTTTTCTCCTGCATGTTTGCAAACAACAGCAAACGCTTTTTATTTTTCATGTTTGCCAACAGCAGCAAACGCTTTTTATTTTTCATGCTTGCCAACGACAGCAAACGTTTTGTTTTTTATTTTGCATCTATGCCAACAACTGCAAACGCTTAATATTTTTATTTTTTTTTTTATTTTTATCTTCAACAGCAAACCCTTTTCTTCCGCATGTTTGCCAACAACAGCACAACGCTTTTCTTTGCCTGTTTGCCAACGACAGCAAGCGTTCTGTTTTATTTTTTCATGCTTGCCAACGACAGCAAACGTTTTGTTTTTATTTTACATGTTTGCCATCAACTGCAAACACTTAATATTTGTTTGTTTGTTTGAACCTATAAATTTGCATTCTGCCATCAACAGCAAATGTTTTCTTTTATTTACATGCTTCCCAACAACTGAAAACGCTTAATGGATTTTCTTTTTCTTTTATATATATATTCGCATGTTTGCCAAACAACAGCAAACGTTTTGTTTTGTTTTGCATGCTTGCCAACAACTGTAAACATTTGGTTTGTTTGTGTTTTGTTCGCCTTGCCTGTTTGCCACCAAGAGTAAAGGCATAACTAGACGTGTTATGGCGACAACAGCAGACGCTTTTTTATGTATGTATACGTATGTATAGCCCTGGAAAACTATCTCCATATTTTATTTGAATATATAAACCATAACAAGAAAACATTTCGTATTTACTATGTGAATTTCCATAAACGCAGCACACTATCTCCATATTTCATGTGAATTTATGAACCATGGCAAGGAAGATTTTGCATTTGCCATTTGAGTTTGCATAAACACAGCAAACTGCCACTATATTTACCATTGCAGTTTGCATGACAGAACAATTGACATATTTGCATTTATTAAGAAACATCACCACAGTAAGCTATCTAGGTATTTACCGATTTATATTGCAAACATTGGTTCTGCAGATTCAGCTTATATGTTTTAGATTCTGCAGATTTGTTGCAAAGCCACAGTAAACTATTCTACATTTACCAAGCAAAGTGTGCCTAATGTTAGTAAATTCATTGTAAAATGTAAAATAGATTTGCATAACTACAGCAAATCAATTCTATATATATATATATATATATATTGAGCAAGTTTAGTATTAACAATATAGCACGTTTTACATTGAACCAAGAAGTTCGCTCTCGACAAAAAGGCTTGCCTAAAGTAGCAAAATACAGCTTGCTCAAACCAATCAAATTTGCACCAGAACAAAAGGGGGCACACAATGCATTCATAAATTGGCAATAACAACAAACATTTGATGCATTTGCCGATCATGATTGATGAAAACAGAGAGCAAAGTTGCCAGCGCATTTTTTCTAAATTGTTTAGCTCTGCTGCTATACAAATTACACCAAAATACCTGTATTACAATCAGTTTTTTTTTTTTTTTGGTTGAAAATATAGCGTGTAGTTAGTTGGAAGTTTGTTGCCATGGTGACTAGTGACACTTATAATAATGTAATAAGATATGAACGATTTTTTTTTTCTTGCGGTACAGAATTTGAAAATGGCTTTGAAAAAAGCAAACATTTTACAACATACTTAAAGTTTTTTCGTCTGACACTCCTCAGAGCATAAAACGTCAGAATAGGTTCCGAAAAACATGTTTGAAAAATATATACCCAGTTGTGGATCGAAATAGGCCAATCAGAAAAACGCAAGCACAAGACCGGTATAGTTGACCAATCAGTGCCGCGAGCCTAAAGAAAAATTACCAATGGAGTCCAAGAGAGAAAACGAACTCCTTTTGTCTACACAATGGCGGCTTTTTCGTTTTTATGTAGATTGACTCCAAAACTGCTAGATGGAAGGACGACCGGGCTCTGCCAATTATCCGAAACATGTCGTCGTTATAGAGTTTTGCACAATCTGGGTTGTCTAAAAGATGTTGACCAATGGCAGAATCACTTGTTTTAACAGTGTTTAAAGATATCTTCAAAATGCAACAAAAGCTACTATTTCAGCATACGGAAAGTATACGGATTAAAAAGCAAAGTGCAGAGAAATGTCCACGTGCCTCAGATCCACTCTAAGTGTTCCTGCACATTCTTGCAAAAATCCCTAACAAATCTTTTTAATTACCGTAACCAAAAAGGACGTTCACCGAAACCGAAACCGAAGGGCATGGCCGCAGGAATTTTCTGAACGGGGTCCTGTTTTGTCAATAACCACTGGGCACAAGCCGGCTCAAGACGGCCCTGCTTTTTGGTATCATCTTGCTGTAGGCAATATTTCCATTTTGTTAGGAAGAGTAATCAAAGGAATAGACCAATTTGGGTTATCTAAAAACAGTAAACTGGCAATCAAGATGTTCCAAGGGGCATTGCCGAGACCGCAGTGTTAAAAATGTTATGTAACTCGAGCGAAGTTTTGGTGCCAGACTGAGGTGAACACTACCGTGAGGGCCCACTAAACCACAGCCAAGCAAGCAATGTGATATTACCAAAACAATGAAAACAATCCTTAGTCAATTTATTGATTCATTTGATTATTGATTTTTGTTGAAACAAGATCAAACTGATATTCGAACTTTACAGGTGTGTTTGCGAAACTAAAGTATGAAGGTTAGAACACTGGGAGCAATATTGGGATCGCTAAACGCTTACTATGACCATACTGGCAGGTTTGTTAAACCACAGTATGACTGCTTTGAACGGAGGGCGGCAGTGTGATGCAGCCAAAGCAAGGGCCTGCTGAATTGTTTGCAATGCCGATGGGTGTCATTTAATTGGATCTTGATACTTTTAAAAGCCTAAAACAACTGATCCTAGATGGACCATGTAACGTGTCCAGAAAATTTTGCTGGCATGACTATATAATTTTAGGCTAGTGTTAATTTCCTCCACGTAACTATAAAATAACGGGGCAGTTTGCCACACACCCCTTACGCCAACAATGACACAACAAAGATACTATTCGGTATTGAGGGGATTTTAGAGACGGCGTTTGTTGAATCCCAGATGAATGGAACCAAGGACGCCTGCGCCAGGAGAGCAGCTAGAGCAGTTGCCCCTGACCTCGCGAAATTGAGCATTTTTCTTTGTTTGACTATTGTACGGGCCATTGTTTTGCCCTTTTTTCTCTACGCTTTGCCCCCGTTGCCATCTCTGAGTACAGGCATCCTTGCCTTGGACAAGAACATGACAGGGTAAATTATTTGAAAGAATAAGAACAAATAACAACAAGCAGGTATTCGTGGTGGATGCGTTTGATTGGGCGGCCTGGCATGTGACTTTACCGAGAGGCAGCACTGTGGTCTTTGAATACTGCCCCCTTATTTTGTTGTATTTATGGTGGAGATATGAAGCTCCAGGGTTGGTATGATGAAAAGCGGCAGGAAATAGTGGATCGAAAATAAAAAACAAATAACCTACAAACCATGCTACAGCCAATGTAGAAAAAAAAAATGCTGGTACAACCTTTTCTCTGGAGCACGTGATAGAATCGAGATGCGGGGTAACTGAAACTGTAATAGCAGTAGACAGCAGCCACTGAGCGCTTGACCTGAACTGCTATAACTTTCGATAACTCTGCCAAGGCCTAGCAACCAGTACCTGCAACTTTCCAGCCATGCTATGACAACAGTAAGCAACGGTCGAAATCATGACCATGATCAGCGTCCGGCCATTTGACGGTAGGACTATGTCCTTTATTAGCGGGTTCAAAATAAGTTACACTTTCGCAGAATAGTTCACTTCTCTACAGAGAAAACGCGTACAAACAACGCGTGAGTCTTGCTGCAAAATATGACATGACCCTAGCTGCATCACTGTACTTAAAGAAATATGCCCGGAAAAGACCACCTAGAGAATACCACAAGGTGATTAGCAAATAGCTAAGGTAACATGATATCCACAGCCTACTAAGGATATACGTGTGGGACCACCCGATTCTAGAAAAGGGGAATCTGCGCACTTTCCCCGCGGGTATTAACTCGAATTAAACGATTAATTCCCATTAAAAGCAATCTGTCACGACGTTTTGATTGATTATAAGAACCAAAGGGAGTTTTTTATGTTTCCAGTTCCCCTTTAATTTATCAATTGAATATGGCGTAAGGCGCTGGAATTCATGTCTAGGCTATTGTTCCAGGCTATTGTTCTCGTTAACCAATCCCACCAACGAAACCTCGAAGGGGAGTTATTGTTTTTAAGCATTTTAAAAGGGGCCTGTATTTTTGTAAAGGCCTCGCTTGGCCCGTGCTTAATGCAAATTAAATATTTGTCTTCGGATGTTATGACTGGAAAAGAGATGGTGTTGATTTGATGCGAAAGTATTGAACGACCAATGATTAAATTAAAAAATCATCTGTTGTCAAGCTTACTATATTTTCAGCATCAGTGAAAATTTGGGAAGTAAGGGGGATAAAATTGAGAGGGGGCTAATTAAATTTTCCTCTAAAAGGGGGAACTAAATAAGAGAGGCGGCTTAATTGAGAGGGGGGTATTTAAGAGAGGAGGGGCTAAAAAAGAGAATTTACGGTATAGTCGTTAGAGCGCGGAAGTTTGGGTATTGTTCAGGCTCAGTCGCGAAGTTTGTTGATTGATGGCAAGTTTTCGCCGACGTGTACCGTTTTTTGTCTTTCGAATTTTATGAAATTAGTAAACTGACGAGCCACCTAATCAGAACACTTAGCTTGTGTTATTGTTTTCCGTCGGAGTACTTAAAAGGGGC